GGCTACCCCGTTACTCCTGTTTACCAAAAATATCATCTCAATCTGGTATAAGACAAAAAGTCACAAAACTACTTTTAATATCAAAAAGACCTGAGCATTGCACCATAGGACTACTCCCAGACACTAGTGTTTTTTCAGACGTTCAAATTTTTCCAATGTTCTGTTACCTTAGCAATTAGACTGTTATTTCAATCAGAGAAATCACTAACAGAGCGCTTTTGTTTAAAATTGTTGTTTTTATAGATCTAAGGAAGATGTTTTTCTCTTACGAGAGAATCACATAAAGTGGGCGCGGCTCTCCGGCCGGTCCCTCGTAAAGGGGTGACTTGTGTTATTCCATCTATTTCTAGACGAGTCAAAGCATTAAAAATCTGTTGAACAGAATACTTTATTTTCCTTAGAAATGTCAAAGCTTTGAGGTAAGGAGATAAGTTTTAGCCAGTAAAAATCCCTGAAAGTCCAATGATTTACACCACAGAGGGTAAACATGTAGCTTCTCAGCTGTGCCGGCGTTTCCTATTTTTCAAGAGGGGGTTTGTTTTTCTGCCCATTGAGGCAAAACAACGAGCCTGTTCTTGCACGTTTCCATGTCTTAGCGTGCTCTGTGTCAAAATCATTTGTCATTATTTCGTGCCCCTTTATGTTACAGGATTCGAAACGCATAGTTCGACCAAAAGAATTGATGCCGAGAGAGAATGTTAGACAGTCTTAGGAGCGTGACTCGCTCGCTATCAGTTACGCAACGTTGCACCACTTTTTGGAACAAAACGTGACTTAAGCGTCTCAATGAAATTCATTCAGCTCCACAGCTGCGCAAATTGAGCGCTTGTAAGGACTAAACCTCCCTTAAGGCACGAAAGATACGTGCTCCTTTATCAATGATTCGTGGACAGAAGTGTGCCAGATTGCAAAGCTGTATTTCGAGTCCACACCACTGCATGATCTTCTCTTAATCACACTCAAACCAAAAACAATTTACCTCTCAAATTGATCACAAGGCACACCGCCGTTGCTTTCAGCCACGCTTCACGGTTCAACTTACACAACGTGCTGCAAGCATTTTCATTTTTACACAAGCACCTTTAAGAAATTCTTAAGTGCACATACCTCGACTGGTTACCCACAGAGAACGGTTCAACTACCAAGGTCTGCTTGCAGCCTTCTTGCCACACACCTGCCTTCGATTTCACCTCAATTCTTCCCGCGTTGACCAGATAACTCGTGACAGTCAATATAACCTCGCTTTCGTGCTAATATTATATTACCAGTGTAACTGTAGTGCCAATCTAAACCTGAGTAACATTGAAGAACTAACCTAGCCTTGTACAAGTATCACATCATGACAGTGATCGTAGGCCTTCTGGAAGCTCGGTAGTACTTCATATGCTTTTGTACTGGTTTTACCTCGCCGAGTACCAAATTTTTACACTTTGATTTAACTGTAAGTGTACCCTTTTCTTGTATCTACAATGAGTGGCAACTGTACTTGGCACGCCTCCTCTTAGTAAATGGTCGCCCATCCTCCACTCTACAAAATAAACATAATAAATCTTGTAATTCACCTCTAATAACTTATTTGAAAGTTTTTTCTTTCCTACTAAACAATGTTGTTTGAAATTTGCGGGCATTTTTTCAACAACAAGCAACATTGGAATGGAGGAGAATGAGAGTTATAAAAAAAACAAAAATCGTAAAGCGTTCCAAGACTTTTTCCAGTCATTGTAGAATGAACGAGAACTACATCCTTGACTTGTTTTATCTTGAAATGACAAAAATGGATGTGGCTCATAATGTAGAGACTGCACCTCACTTTTCTTTCGGGTGATTCCTAAAATATTACACTGCATCAAATGAAAGAGCCTTGCAAAAATCAATTACTAGTTTTTCTCAGCTTTTCCTTCACAACTACTTGTTGAACTCGACTCTTCACGCACTTCAAGCCCGAAGAGCTATCTGTGCTAGGCACAGTATCCTCGTACAATCAAGGCTTCCAGGAAAATAACCACAGATTCTAGAACTTTTGAAGGTTTTACTGTCCGAAAAAAGTATTATTGTCTACGCCCTGTTACAATTCATCTGTAATTATCTCTAAAAAGGGATGTAGAAGAGAGTAATCTTGGCTTATTACTTTCCCTCAATCATTTTTTCCTATTTTCCCGAAATACAATCTACAATACCAATTTACGGAGACTGCGACCAAGTGAGATCTCGAGATGAACTTATAAACTCGTTCCCAGAACCAACCCTCTTTTGAGGAATTTGGGAAGCTGGGAACGAGCACTTTCCCGGGGCAAAATTTACGTTTCACCGACACTTGTGATATTGATTGTTGTCATGGGGACCTGCCTTGCCCACAAAGGCGACGATCTAACATGACGATTGCAGAAGTGTTGTTAAGTAACATAACGTCATCGGCTTCATAGGTGTTGTCAAAGGTTTAGTTCCTCTACTATCTGGGCTGAGTAACTGCTCGCCCTTTGAGCTAAGTAAAACAGAATGAATTGTGCCTTCTTTTTGCGAATCTTGCTCAAGAAACTGTTCTTATTCAAACCAGCGATAGAAAACATTTTTAACGAGTTATCAGTTAACGAGACTAACGCTAACTAGAAGATGATCAAATAAAATTTAATGACTTTCTGTGGTTCCTTGCTGAAAAATTTCAAGACATCTTTCACAATTCACAAGACATCTTCGTAAAGTTAAAATTTCAAAACACAATCCTAAATTTTCTCAACTGAGAGGGATAGTTTGCTTTCAAAGTCCTTTTTGTTTTGCGTATGCAAAAAAAAAACAACTGGACGCCCTTTTGTTCAAAGTTTCGCAACATCTCACGGTTTCCTGCGGTGTACAGTGAGCAATGTTTGATGTAAAATAAATTAGATTAATCAGGCCTTTGCGAAATCTTCAAAACCCTCGGCAGAATTCAACCCGAGAATCGTCAGATCAGCGACGGTTATTTCATCAGTGTGTTTGCTTCGTGTTCACAATTTCGTGCTAAAAAAAGAAAAATACTTCACGGCGAAATGTTATTGACGCTGAACTAAATCCTCGGTTTAAAGAGAATATGTAAAGCACCTTTTAAAGAATGGGACAAAAAGATTTAATTCTAGGTCCAGTGAGTTAATTCAAGGTGAGCGACACGCGTTCGTGTTGACGGGACACTTTACACTTCTTATTAGCCTAGCAGCAGGAGACCATGAACAGTCAGAATTCACACAATTATCACAAGCACAACTCATAAATTAGCAAAAACAAAACTTGTATTGCTGCCAGACGCGCTTGTTGTTCTTTTATAATTGTTCTGATTCAATTTTCAACTCAATTGATCGACACAAGCTTGTACCGAAAGCCACCAACTGTTCTATACAGCGTATAAGTTAATAGCTGTTTTTGGATTCAAATTGATCTGTCTTGAGTGAACCGAAAAAGCTTTCAAAGAAATCTTCCTTTCTTGTGGCATTCTAGAAAAACAAAGCTTTTAACTTCTCATGTAAGATTCTTTCTTAAAACAAAGCAATCCATGCACACTTAAAAGAGTAAATTCGCTAATTGTTAGAATTTATCTTTGTTTTTGAATGATACTTTCTGTGTCCAAATCTCTCGCTTACTGATAAAATTTCCTCGCATCTGTAAATTCCTTCTTTATTAAGAGACACTTTTAAAGATAGAATGTGTTAAAAATCAGTACCTTTGCTTGTAAACTGCCTACTATCTTATGTTATTCAGAATTGTGCAATCAGCCTCTTAAAATTTTAATGAGAAGGAAAGAAAATTGAATTAGGTCGGGTAGCCCTTATCTCGATTGCTCGTAATTTTGTTTAGAATTTTCAACAAAGAATACGCGACAGTTCACGATAGAATTGAGTAAAAACAGACTTAGTCGATTCAACAAGTATCTATAAGACAGAGAACTTCATCTTCTCCGCTAGTCTTTTACATACTTTCAAACACGTTACCGGTTGACCGCAAAAGTTACAATTATATCTCATAGAATCAGTTGTAGTAAATTTTATGTTAACTCGTTGCATGTTTACGGATAGTCGATTATGAATCAATGTTTGCCACGAATTCACTTGTATGTACAACAGTAAAAAAGGGTTAGTTTGTGTATTTTGGCAGGTTTCAAAAGAAAGAGTGAAAATCGGTATTGACATAAATCGCGGTAAATTTTGTATTAAAAATTTGCCCTCTGCAACAAAATCGCTCTTTCAACTCTCAGCGCTTATCGACTCTATAATTATTTCAGACGTAGATTAACAACTCAATGATATCGCAGATGCTCACATATTCATTCTCAAAGAAAACAAGCTAACAGTGAACTTGAAACTCAGCTCCTTTTGTCGGTGGCTTCTTTGCTTTTGGTGACATTGGTTAAAGCTGAAATTAACACTGGACGCCAAGCATACAAAATGAGTTTCCCGTGGGGAATTTAATTGCCGTGATGTGATAACCTTTTAGTACCTCCCATAACAATTTTGGGAAGTTCCAATTATTGTAATGTATTCAACACAATCACTGGCGCTTAATAATACAACACAAGCCCTTGGCGGGTGGCATTTTGACTACAATGAGCAGGGAAGCTCTAAAGCACGCGCGGGTCCTTTTATCTATCAATTCACCCCTCACAGAGACCAATTTTTGTCGCGTGGAGACCCTAATAAACTCTGAACAGTTAATCAAGTGTAGTACACTTCAAACAATAGAGAACGGACAGGATTTTCAAAGCAAGTTTCCGGTACTTCACTCATTCAATTACTCCGCAACACGAAATTCACCTGCCAGCGCTTATTCAACGGAATGAAACAAAGGAAGAACTGGAATTATTTCAGCGACGTTTAGCTGTATCAAATCTTTGGAAGAAGTGATAGTTAAACACGAGATGTTAATTATAAAAGGGATTTAACCAGCTAAAGAAAAGAAGAGAGATGTACATTAATTCTAAGGCATAAAAATGTAGGCGACAAAAGATAATTTCTGACATGTGTTTATTTATTTGACTTCAATGTACATGTTATGCCATTACTGATAATGTTAACAAAATTAGGTGTGAAAACATTGTTAAAAATTTCACTTATATTGCCTGGTTATAGCTACTACCCTTCGTATGAGTAGATATTATTTCTTCACGCGAAATCTTCGCTTTCGTCGCTATTAAAATTGTGCTTAAGTAATATAAAAAGGACAACAAAGGAAAAAATTTGGACGAAGTTTGAGCAATTGGTTTGAATTTCTATACAAGCGAATCTTTTGCAATTCAAGTCAGCATTGACAGGGTTGGTAAACTCAGTTTTAGCCTGTCACTCTCTAAGTTTCAATAATTACTGCTGATCTTGTTAAGATGAAGTGCAAATATTTAATTTTTTTACAAATTGCTACACGCATTCTCCCTCGCGCGAGTTAAAATTACGAAGCAATTACCTAAAAAAACCTTAAAGATTTTAAGCTTTCGCGGAATCGCGTTTAATAAAGTCTGGAAAAAGTTCATGTGTTTCCTCTCCTAAATGTTCTTAGTGAGCTTCTTCAACGTGCTCTTTTAAATCAATCTTTTTTGAAAATCGCTTTCTACAGGTTCGACAGTGGTAAGGCAAGTTGTCAGAATGGGTATGCATATGAAACTTTAGATTAGACATCTTGTTGAAAGCGCGATTACACTGGTTGCATCGAAATGGCTTCTCTCCCGTGTGAATCATAATATGGTTTCGCAAATTTCCCTTTTGATGAAATCCTTTCCCGCAAATGTCGCAGATGAAGGCCTTCTTGTCGCTGTGTGTTCGGAGATGAGTCTTAAGTGTGGAAGAACGGTTAAAACTCTTTCCACACTCATCGCATTTGTGCGGTTTTTTCTCTGTGTGAATGATCTTGTGCCTGCACAAGGTGCTGGACAGACGGAAACCTTTTCCGCAAACGTTGCAAACAAATGGCCGACTCTGAGTATGATCTGGCATTTTTAAGTGAATGGACAAGGTGTATTTGGTCTTAAAAATTTTGCCACACTGATTGCATTTATGGATGGCCTTGTCTGAGCGACTCTTAGCGCCTGTATCATTTAGTTCATTTGCTTTATTCACATGGGAACTTTTTTTGAGCGCTGAACCCGACACCCGCTTGGCTTCGTCTGAGGACGAGTCAATGTTCTTGTTGAAGTCTTTGGCGAATGCGTTGGTTTTCTCCTCCAGTGCTTCATTTTCTCGAAAAATTCCTTGCCCGGCATAACAAGAGATTTCCTGAAGATTGCTTTTTTGAGCATTTTGGCCCGACATTTTCTTTCCATTATTAATGAAACCATTTGCAAACCTTAGAATCTTTCCAATATCATTCACTCGCCCATCAATTCGGACATCGGCTGGGTAAGATGATTTCTTTTTCTTTTGAAACGTACCGAAAAATTCAACTTCCTTTTCCTTCTTTATTTTTGCCGGCCTCTTGCTTCGCCTGACATCTGAATAATCCTCACTAGCGGCTTTCTCCTCCTCTGTGAATTAAAAATACAACATAAATGATACTTCAGTTAAAATCTTAAAATGAACACACGGCTACAACACGAAAGTGGCTGTCTGGCGTGTTTACATAGAGACGCTTTTATTTTGAGACATTTCGAATTAAGGCACTCTAACAAATACTTATAAAAGATTTTGATTCAAAAGGAAACAAAAAACTAACCGTACTGAACGGAAGAAAGTTTTCTCTCGCCGAAATAATTGCCGTCATCGAAATTTCTCTTTAGCAGAAAGGCTCTTGGCATCGTAGCAAGAATTTGTAGTGTGGATATTATCTGTCAAAGTTACGACACTACCAAACACGATTTTCCTAAGCAAGAAAATTTCCCGCGATTTAAGCGCCGATCCACAGCCAAGCTGCACTGTGTATAACTGAATGAGTTGCTTTTGTATTCTTTCATTTTATAGCAACTTTGTGAGCGCGTAATCTTTTAACAACTCTATGTCATGGGGACTGAAGATAGATCTGGCATTGTTTTGAGTTCGGATGATGCGGTTTCCAACCAATCAAAAACCGTCAGGTCTGGAAACCTGCAAACATATTGAATAATTTATAAACTGCACATATGAAAATAACTCTGCAACACCTGCCACTTGTGGGCTTTAATTTTTAGGCTCTTATCGGTAAATCCGCAAACAAATTCTCCTTGCGCATAATGGATCGTATTTTCACGCGCCAAAACCGCTAAAAGAAAAATTCCGATTGCCCACATTTTTCATGGGAAGAAGCAGTCGGTCTTAACTAGTTTCGGAAAAGACGATCACAGCAACCTATTGAGTCGCAATAAAAATGCAAATACTAAAGCATTTTCTCTTGGAAATATTTATTTCCCCCTCGCTAGGGTGTAATAAGTGCTGTTAAAAGCATTGGGCCCGCCTATTGGACGGACTAGCATAATAGGTCTAGCTAACTTTATTACAGTTCGCTGTTAGTGGCCTTTTGTGTGGAAATCTTTTCTTGTCATTTCAATGGCATTTACGAGCCGCCTTCGCGTCAGAAAATTCATCCCACCTTTTTTCATCGTAGAAGATGATATTTCTAAACGTCTTCTATCTATCTTCGACCCATTTTCCACGTTAATGTCGCTGCTTGGGAGAGTGGCTCTCGTATGCATAGAAAGATATATTTTGAGGAGCACGTCCACACTCCGTTTAATGAACACCACACACGACCCATGATATCGATTGAACATTTGTTTATTTTTCGCATAATGGTCGGTCGCCAGTTTGTCTCCAAATACTCAATAACCCTTCCACCATTGTTTTCGTTTCTGCATGCTTCTAAGACAAAAGAGATTTATGCGGTGTAAATCTAACATTGTTAGCGGTGAAATTCCTGCTGTGTCATTATTCCTTCTAACTAACTTGAAACTGCGAGTGGTAATAATACAGAATAACCTTATTTTCAGATTTTAAAGGTAACTTTCTCTATTCGATTAGGTTGGCTTGAATTTCTCTCCTATTTCTATTTTTCGGAAGCAAAACTGTGAACTTAAGTTAAAGTTAATTTTATGCAGTGCAATTAAACCTTGCAGTTCATTTTGAGTTTGAATCAAATTGAATATCGAAAGCTGCGGATGGTTAAAACAGGAAAATTGTTGACTTCAAAATTCTGCCTCAAATTATCTAGAGAACACAAGATTTCGATATTCAGTTTAAAAGTATCGTATTAGTACTTTGGGAAGAAACATTTATTGGCAGTAAAAGAGAAATATCAGATTTCAAAACGAAAAGGATATGTCAGATCCATATCGATAAGAAAATGCATTTCAAAGCAAGACAAAAAGTATAAATTAGAATTTTCATTCCATAATCGAGAGGACCTACTTACGTGTTAATATAATTTCCGCGGTTTAAAACTGGAAATCTAACGCCTTGTGAATGCAAACTCTTTTATAAGGATTAATTAAATTTTAAAATTTGTCTTGAATCTTAAAGAGTTAAAATTCTCTGGGCTTACTACATTTGTAATCACCCACAATATTTAAGATTCTCGTCGCTCTCGTCTGCTCGAGTTTTTTTCTTTTGAAACAAAAACCGTGAATTCAATTCAGCAAAGACAAAAAAGCTGCCTTTTTGAGGCGTGTTTGACAAAGTTGAGTTAATTCAAACAATATTTCGTATTCCGTTTAGCTTCCAGTTAAATTCAATATCCCCGCTGAAGCTAGTCCGTAATAAAAACGTTTAAGAATGAGCCAGTAATTGAAAGACAACGCACCTAATAATGATTAACATTACCACTTCTCAAACCTTTATCATTTTCGCGCTCGACTGTGAATCATGTACGCCGTAAAATGTTTGAATAGAAAATCATTTCAAAGGCTTGTTAATTAGGACGTGTTAAGTATTCAGATGTCTGTCACCATTTCTCTTTCAGTCATATATCACTTGATATTCATAGTTATCTTCTGAAACTCTATCTGTTGGTGCACGATAGGAAAATATTGCATAGACAAAAAAAATACGCTTATCTTGTAGTCTCGGTATATTTCCACTGTGTGTTTGAAAATTATTCTGACAAAAACCAAACATGACAAGTTTAAAATTTTATCTGAAAAACACAGTTTCCGTTTGTCTAAGCTATAACTTGAGCATAAAACAGGTGTCTTTGACATCTCAGCATATATTACCGACAACAAAAATAAGCAAATTTTTAACTGATGGCCTTTTAACCGTGACTTTCGCCGAGCTCTCTCAGGTTTAAGAAACATTTTGTGCGAGATTTTTAGAGAAATTCGAGGACTTAATGAATATAAGCTTAAAAATTTCATCAACAATTTCGGAAAAATGCTTTACGGAAAATGTTCTCCGGCAAACAAGCCTTGGCCTGTGCCGACCAAACTTGCATTTCCTTGGAACATGTAATTTTCCGGTTTGTAAGCAAACTTGTCATGACTCTTGCTCATTTTCGAGGACATAGTGCGCTTCTTCATCAAATGGTTAACATGTGTAGAGGCAAAATTGAGGACGTGAGAGTTTTTGTAAGAGATATTTTAATTTTTATGATGGGAAAAGCATTTAATGTAATAATACCTGTGACAGATGATTTGAAAAACAGCCATTTTAAGGATATCCGATATATCTATTTATTTTATGATGGAAAGCCTCAGAATTACATTCAGATTTCACGTAAAAAAGCGAATGAAACCCGACAAACGAGGCCGTAAATCGCGTAAACGTTTAAAGAAAAAAGTTCGCTTTGCATCTATCCAGCGTGAGATCCTTCTAGAAGACACATGGTGCGGATTCATAGAGTTGGCTGAAAATAATTCAAACGCTCACAGCACGTGTTTTCAAAGTTCTTTGTTTGAAATTTTCTCTACTCTTTGACAGTTTTTTTTAAACTTAGAAAGTGCTTTCTAAAGACAAAGGCATGCTACTTGTCCCTCTAGTTTCACAACTTTTCATAATTGTCGTCGTGGAAACTAATTTTAGGAACCAGTTTCGCATTGCGTAAATTGTTTGAATAATGAATTATTCCTGTTCAAGGCACAGTTAACAATAAGTCAATCGAGTTCAGAGCTTTCAGTGATGCGAATCTTATTTAAATAATCAGGAGAAAAAAATTCGTTATATAGTTTCATCGAGGCCGGAGAGCCTTTTAATTTTACTACAAATTAGTTAAAATGATGCTTGGGGCTGGTCTGTTCCTCTGTCAATGATTAATTTATTTCATGATACCCTGAGCATCTGGAGATTTGCAAATTAGATTCTAAAATAAAAATTCATTCATTAATGTGCATCAATTTTCCTTTTTTTTTCTTATAAGTGTAGGTGGACATTCCTGATTGCTATAACTGTGGTCTTTGCTTTGCTCATGAAACTCGGAACTTTTGCCAACTTCACCCAAAACCTAAATAAAAGAAAGCATCGATTTCTAGTATCATAGAACAGTAGTGTCATCTGATAACGTGTGAGTAAACGATTGGAGACGCAATGCTTGGGCTAGTGTTCAAATAGACGTCCCATGTAAACAGAATGGTTTAGCAGTATGACAAAAGCCTTAAGGTTCTCACTTTCTCTGCGGTTATTTTTATCTGAAGCCCAAGCTCGTTAACGACAGCCAGACTTTCCTATGTTTTATATCCCAACGAAACAGAACACACGATTAATGAGGCAATTCTAATGGGCTGATATAAACCTTAGGGCAGCAATTGCCAACCCACTTATAAAACAAACATGACTGATGATAATAATTATAACCACTCTGATGATAATGACCACGAGTGAAGTCGAATTAGGATTCTAATGCTTCGAAATGTAAAATTTTTGAGTGCAATTAAACGACTGTGAAATGGATGGCGAATTTTCAAGTTTTACTGTCACGAAATAAAAGCGATAGACGTCTACTCCAACATGACCACCTCGAGAAAAAAGTTTGGCAAGGCAAGCTTAATAAGTTTTGTAATTTCAATTATGTATTTATTTCGTTGCGCGGTTTCTTTAAAGTGTTCGGTATCGAGAAAATGAAAAAAAGACCATCTCCCCCGAGGATTTTTGATAAATGATGAAAATGAAAAGATGGAATTTCAGCCAATGCGCGCTTTTCATTTTCGATCGGTCTCCAGTCCTCCAACTACTGAAAAATGACGTGTTGTAGCCTAGACCCCAGTTCTTCGAAGAATATGATCTATCATGGCGGTTGTCCACTTCCTTTGGGAGGGACAATTTTTCATCTCGCGTCCAGGACAAGTTGTGGGAGATTTGAAGGGGAAATGAAATGGAAGGGAGTAAGTCAGATAAAGTAAGAACACCAGAAAAGAGTGCCTTTACCAAACTTCAATCTCCAGAAGGGAATAAGTCGGTAGGTTTGTAGTTATTTTTGTTTGAATTTTACGTCACTCAAAATTGAAGCTTAACGTAAATATGATATCCGTGGTTCTCTCGTGTAGAAAAGGGAAATTGCCAATTTGCAACACAGATTTAAAATTATCGTTTCTGGTCTTCCATTATAGTCCTAAGTCAACTTATATACCGCCATTTTAATAAACATTGGCCTTGTTTGCAGTGGCTATAGTGCGCTAGTAATTCCTTCTAAATAGCTAGCACATTTAAGAGGATTATAAATATAAAAGCTAACTCTTGAATTTGAGAATTCAATATTGTAGTTGCATTTAGTTTTTCGTGTATGTTGTATCACAGTTACGGTTACTTTGTTCAGAAGGGTTGTCCTTTCCTCTAGCTGTTCACCAGGAACTTATATTTAGCTTATCGTTTTACCATGGCATTTTTGCTGTCAAAGTTATTGATATGGAACTAAGAAATGACTTAATGATGTATGACATGCTCAAGTTTATCAAAAACTTTTGACGATCAAGTATTTGACTATTTTGGCACCAACTCAGAGGAATCTGCAAAAGAGTTGCTTGCTAATAACAGGAATCACATGGACAGTTATTTTATTTTCCCATAATTAAACAGCAAGAGAGACACTGCTGTATATTGAAAATCAGAAAAAATCCTTAGAAATTCAATCAGAAATGAAAACTGTGGAAAGCTATATGGAAAAGAAATTTCCTCAAAAGGATTGGACCATCTGAAACTGGATTTGACAATAAACTTACAGAGGTCTTTAACCCTTTCAGTAATTCCCATATGTGACTGAGACAGAATTCCCTATAGAATAGACATCACAAAATCAAGTAAACAAATGATGTTAAGAGTAAAGTATATTATCATGTAGGGAATTATTAGTTAATCCAATACCAAGTTCTCAGGACTAATATGTTCATGCACTGATACTGTAATTTCTGAACATGAAAAGTTTTGGGCTAATTAAAAATGCAAGGGACTGTATAGAAAGGACTGGAATAAAACAATTTCAGTTAACAGTTTTGATTTTTTTTGTTTATTAATTTTTTATGTTTAGAAATCAGCAATAGCAGAGGTCAGCTCGACTGCAATTGTTAAGTACTCCGCCCAGGAAGTCTTACCTTACTATAACAAATTGCAGCAGGTAAAAAAAATAGTCTTTAGAATCATTACTTTAGTGAATAGTGTCTAACAAACAGCCTACTCTTGTCACTCCACCAAAAAAGTGCCTTTGTGGCAAATATTTACAGGAGCACCTTTAAAGTTATGAAATTTTTTTGTTGTTGTCAATTGATTATTAATAAACTGTATTCACAACTCATAGTTGTGAGAATTTGGTGTTAAGTCCAGATAACAACTTCTACCTGATAAGTTGGAGTATTCTCATTACCTGTATGGTTGTATAGGGAGAAGTTACATGTTAATCACTTCTGGGGTTTAAAGGGTTAATTCTGATAATGATTTCTTTAGAGGTCGTCAAATATTATTCAAATTTGAACAGTAGTCCTATTTAGGAAAAGCCTCACCCAGACAAATGTTATAGATAACAGTTTCAGATTGCTGGTAGTCATCACACTTGATGGGAATGGAGAGTGTGAATTTGTAGTTATATGTCTGAAGAAACTTCCACTGGCAGTAACTGATTGCAGAATTTTTACTGTTAGGATACAAACCTCAATGTTGCCCCTTCAAATTGGCTGCGAGATGGAAGGTTTTCTGATCTCAGTTTTCTCAAAAGGGACCCTGTTGAGTTTACAAGGTAATCAACCTTTTTCCAAAAGAAACTTATTTTATATATGAATTAATTTTACAATTAGAGACTTCTGTTGTTATTGCATTTTAATGAATGGTAATATCCACTAAAAGTACATATTTAAGTTTTAACTTTTCAATGTGCTTGTGCATGACTTAATTTGATACTGTGGGAGATTTTTGAAAGTTTCTTTGAAAAATTAGGGTGACAAATGCAACTGTAAACCTTATGACATGTTGAAACAAAATAGCTCTCAAGGTGAGGAGTATTATGAGGTACCAGCATGTTGCCATGCAAAGTCACATAGATGATAATAGAATTTCCAGAATTGATGCTATGGGCCAGCATCTTATTTTTGAATAGAGGCACTGCTTAAAAATCTTTTTGTCATACAATGTTGTAGACAGAAAAAGCCCTTGATATTAGCTTGGTACTGGTCCCCATCACAGATTCTCAAAAAGTATGGATTGTTTTTTTTTTTTTAAGAACCTACTAACAACTGTATAAAAATTTCTCTTGGAGCTTGCATCATGGCCAAGAATGTTTCCTTCAGTTTCATTTCAGACTTTCTTTATCCTCTGTCCTAACATTTGATTTTACTTTTGCATTTTGATCATATTTTATTTTTACAGTGCAACTCTGAAAATACATTATCAAACATTGTCTAAAGAATGTGGGTGGTTTAGCTGGAAATGTATTTGAAAAGTAATAGATAACCACTGTGAAGTTAGAATTTGTTCAATTAAAAATTAATATACTGGGTATTTTGAATCACAGTTTTGGAATGGCACACAGCTTTGTTGATACTATTGGAGATGTCGATGTGATATCTGATGCTGAGGTAAAATTTTCTTTTCTTGAGACATTTGAAACTCGTCAGCTTTGTGACAATTCTCTCAGGTTGCAGGGTCAAGCAGGGTCAAGCAGGGTCAAGCAGGGTCAAGCAGGGTCAAACCTTAACCTTAACCTCAAGAGCAGGATGTTTTTATGATTTTGAATTGTTCTGCTGATACCATGTCCTTCATTTGCCTTCCCTCTGGGTCCTTTCTTTTCCACACATTTACCTTCTAATGGCGAAATGAATAATAACTTATGTATTCCTTTTGATATCACCATTCCATTATGGTTGACAACATTTTGAGCAATTTTCAATGGAGTATTGAAAGAAATCCAGGATTGCTTTGTTTCAACTTTACTGCACTCTGTGACTGTTCCTAATAAACTTGTGCCACTCTCTTGACCAATTATATGCCAAACTAAAACCAATCAGATTTATTTCTCATATTTTCCTGCGCTTGTAACAGTTTGGTTGGTTTTACTTTGAGTTCTCATTGGCTCTTAAAGGTATTTTCCTTTCTTCAGATTGGCTGTTGTGATTATGTTGGTTTTAGCTTTAAGACACTTAATCAATGAGCACTCTGACCAATGTATACACAAACTGTCCGAGTAAAATGAAATAGTCATACCCAGTAAATCAGATGAGAAAGAAAACTCTGAAAACATGCTTTAACTTTGTCTTAGTGGGTGCATATCTTTAATTTCTCTTTATATTTTTTTTTTTGTCTTTTGCTTTTATCAATATAGAACATCAAGAAATTACTTAAAATACCATACAGGTGTGTGAATCGTGATTTTCCTGACTTTGAGAAATTACTGTTTAATCAGTCAGGTTAATCACATACGTTTGTAATGTTTATTGATTTATTCAATTGATACCAGCTGGATTCAGTCAAACACGAAAGGTCAATTTTTCATTCCGTTCATTTGGGTGATTCTAAGAATAAATCAAGTTCTATTTTGACTTCCAAAACAAGAGAAATGAGTCGAGTGCAGGTAGAGAAGTAACTGGATAATAAGTTAACAGTCTTAAACAAGAACGAAAACCATTCCCAAGCAACACCTTTGTAATTTGATTGTCTTGGCTTTGGTTGCTGTTACATGTACCGGCCTGCTATGGAATTGATCCTGCCAGATTTGGAACAGGAGGATTTACCTGCATTCATGACTTCTGTGTACTAAGGTGTTTTTGTACTAAAATTTTCATGTCCATTTAGTGCCAAAGCTGAAGTAAGCTTAGCAGTCCATAGAGTGGGGCCAACTCTGCTGTTGGATTATCTTGATGTACCATCACTGATTTCATTTGCTTCTGAGGTTTGTTTATATTTAATTCTAAGTAGCTTCAGTCTGCGTCAGCTAAAATCTTTAATGACACTTAACCCTTTCACTCCCAAGATCTCATTGGTATTTCTCCTTACTCTGCTATATAACTCCTATGATGTTTGTTCGGAGAATTTGGTATTGGATAAACATTCTTGATTCTCATCTCTTGTCTGCTTGATATTGCATTGATATTGTAAGGAGAGATTCTGTCTTGGTCATTGGTGGGAGTTAAAGGGTTAACAAGAATATATCTGAATCTATGTGACTATCTGCAATACCATCTTCCAATATCCTATATCTAAAGATAATTAAAATTTTGATCTAAGTCTTCTCTGTTAGGGATTGATGTAAAACTATTTTCAGGAACACTTTACCAATTTAATGAATTCATGAACCATTGAAATATTTATAACTCATTCGGATGTGAGCTGGGAATTGAAATTTTTATGCTAAGTTACTGTTACTTAATGCTTAATTTTGTCAAAGATCTCATACCTTTCTTAATATTCCAGTTTTCTAATCATGCTCCTCTACTTAGTTCTTTTGATTCAGTGCAAACTCTTGAGTTATCCTTAGATCTCTGCCACTATATTTATCTATTTTCTTTTCCAATAAAATTTGATAGGGATGGTTCTTTTCATTTTTAACCCTTTAACTCCCATGAGTGACCAAGACAGAATTTCTCCTTACTATATCTATACAATATCATGCAGACAAGTGATGAGAATAAAGAAAAATATCAATTATGGGATTACTAACTGATCTGATACCAAACTCTCCAAACTTAAACATAATGAGAGTCATTTGGCAGACAGTAAGGAGAATTACTTGTGAGATCTTGGTCTCCCAGGACCAGTCCCAGTTCCCTAGTTCACTCCTACATTTCACGACTTTTACAATAATGAAAGAGTGGTAAATTAGCCAGGGTTTTCAATGTAAGCCATTTACTGGTGATCTTCTGCTGTATTCAAGAGCTCTTACCACCATCTACCCCTTTTCCTGGCAGTCAACCCATCAATTACACCGTATGCAACCATGAAAAAAGTTATTGAAACCCCTAATTGATATTTCTCTGTATTCCCATCACTTGTCTACTTGATATTGTGTGGATATTGTGAGGAGAAATTCTGTCTTAGTCACTCATGGGAGTTAAAGGGCTATGCAATGATTAGAAGCACCCTGGGAATACCATAGCTAACTGAGTATGAAATTATACATTATCAATCCATTAATTTTGTTTGCTTACTTTTCTTGCAGGGACACAGTGACACTATTTTTCGTAGGTGGCTTTATGATTTCTACTGTGAACAAACTGGAATTCCAAAGGTACATGTATGTGTATGTTGTCAGAGTAAATGAGGCATGTGTCAAGAGCGTACATTGAGAAAAACAACAGTGTTGGGTATACATGACTGAAAAATGTTCAATATACAACTGATTTCCGTTAATGAGATTACAAAAAAGTTTGAACATACTTCTTAGTGCAGCAATTTTGTGATAAATAGTATGTTTTGCAGTGCATCAGCTTCATTCAATCCTTTTTGTTGGTATTTGTCAGTTCAATTAGGGCATGATTATCTTTGCAGGTAAAGAAATTTGCTCTGTCTAGAAATATGTTCATGTGCATTTGCATAAAAGCTGGCTGGTTTTTGATAATATCAACATTTTATCAATTTTCACCTTATGCCAGGTTTATGGATCAATGGGATTTTGATATCTGTATGTTAGTAAACTGTTTTTACATATAGTAAGTTAAACATACAACGCCATAACATAATGCATTTATAGGATGCTAGCTTTGAACGCAAGAAGAAGAAGAAAGATCAGGCAAAACTCAGACACATATTTTCAAAGTTCCTTCATTACAGGTACAGTCAGTGTCACATAAGGCATTTCCCTTTAAATATGAAGTGTGTGGGAAGATTATCTGAAAACCAACTTGACAATGAAGGGTTTTGTATCATAAGAGCAACTGCTATCTGTATGTAGAGAATTGTGGGAGAATGCTCCCTTGGAGAATTTTGTAATTGAAGATTAGTTTAAATTGGATTTCCTTGATTGGTGGCAAAAAATTCCAGTGTTGGTATAAACATGTGATACTTTTGATTCATTTAGTTTAAAAATTTACTTTTATTAGTTGAAACATAAACAAATCGAAGCAGTGCTTACATTTTATAAAATTAAGGCTAAGGACATCTTCACCTAATGTGGAAGACTTTTTTGAAAGGAAAATTGTACTGTCAATGTTTCTAGAATTATTCAACAAAACAGCAAAGAAGAATTTTGTTGTTTTTTACACCAAACTTCTAGTGATCGGGAGCACTTATTTGAGCAAGTTGACTCCCCGATAAATTAACAAAATTCTTGCGAGCGGGAACTTTTATCAGAGCTCGTTGAGTCTCCGATCACCCACCAAACTTCTTGCGATCGGGAGCTCTTATCAGAGCTCACTGACTCCCCGATCAACCAAGAAACATCTTGCGATCGGGAGCTCTTATGAGAGCTCGTTGACTACCCGATCAACCAAGAAACTTCTTGCAATCGTGAGCTCCTATCAGAGCTCATTGACTCTCCGATCACCCTTCAAACTTCTTGCGATCGGGAGCTCTTATCAGAGCTCACTGACTCCCCGATCAACCAAGAAACATCTTGCGATCGGGAGCTCTTATTAGAGCTCGTTGACTACCCGATCGACCAAGAAACGTCTTGCAATCGTGAGCTCCTATCAGAGCTCATTGACTCTCATTGACTCTCCGATCACCCTCCAAACTTCTTGCGATCGGGAGTTCTCATCAGAGCTTGTTGACTCGCCGATAAATTAACAAAGTTCTTGCGATCGGGAGCTTTTATCAGAGCTCGTTGAGTCTCCGATCACCCACCAAACTTCTTGCGATTGGGAGCTCTTATCAGAGCTCATTGACTCCCCGATAAAACAAGAAACATCTTGCGATCGGGAGCTCTTATGAGAGCTCGTTGACTACCCGATCAACCAAGAAACTTCTTGCAATCGTGAGCTCTTATCAGAGCTCATTGACTCTCCGATCGCCCTCTAAACTTCTTGCGATCGGGAGCTTTTATCAGAGCTCGTTGACAACCCGATCAACCAAAAAACATCTTGCGATCGGGAGCTCCCATCGTTGACTACCCGGCCAACCAAGAAACTTCTCGCGATCGGGAGCTCTTATCAGAGCTCGTTGACTCCCCGATCAACCTAGAAACATCTTGTGATCGGGAGCTCTTATCAGAGCTCGTTGACTACCCGATCAACCAAGACACTTCTTGCGATTGGGAGCTTTGTTCAGAGCTCGTTGTATCTCCGATAAATCAACTACCAACTTGACATCGGAAGCTCTTATCAGAGTGCATTGACTCCCTTATCAACCAACAAACGTCTTGCGATCGGGAGCTCTTATCAGAGCTAGTTGACTCTCCGATAAATTAACAAAGTTCTTGCGATCGGGAGTTTGTACAAATTATAACGGTCTAAAACTCATCAGGGTATCTCCATTGAAATTCTTTTTCCTTTGTACATAAAGCAAGGTCAATGATGAGGTATTTTTCCATTGAACAATATCCGCCATTTATTCTTTTCACCATTTTTTTATTATTTCTCGTTTTTTTTTTGTTTCCTCTGCAACCATTGCCATGGTAAGGGTTAACAAATCAACCGAAATTATCCCGCATTTAACTAACTGCATGCCAAATCTACCTCACCCCTTCATTTTTATTTCATATATACATAAATATTGTTATTTCCTAAAGCGCCTCACTGCCCCTAATAGTTAGTCACTGACGTCAGAATTTTTTACCAAGACTAACATAGCGATAATCGCAGGGTATCAGGCTATCATAATCTGATGTCTAACCTTTTGTGTAATGGGGTGCTATGAGGGTGGCTTTCTCTGGCTTCTCCTCTTCGATTTATATGATAAGTGCTTAATCAAAGGGCGAGCACATTTGACGAAAGGCAGTAAATTGAGGATTTTATGGTATAGTCATCATGATATCTTGACCTTTTCACTACCTGCAAAGTTGCATAGTTTGGTTTAGATTGTCTTGTTATAATTTTATCTCTTCATTTAGCATTCAGAATGACAATCAAGATGCTTCAACAGATACCACCTTTAAAACGTACCCTGATCCCAGCTCGTCGCCTCTTGGAGACTCCTCTGACGAGGGGGAAGGTGAGCCTTTCAGAGATCCAGTCTCAGGACCAACTGTTTTTGCAGAAAAGGGGTCAGATCTGTTTGCACCAATAATTGTTGAGGCTGATTCACCAGAAGAACCTGTTCTACCCCAGGTAAAGGCAATTACATTTCCGATTGCAGTGTTATTGATATTCTGACTCCAAATTTTCAATCTTAAAAAAAAAATTGTGTTTTTTGTAAGCCCTTTAAAAGTGTTTGTCCTTTAGCGAAGGCTTTGGGAGGGTTAGACTTATTCCATCAAGCCTTTTAAGTTTGTGATAATTTCCTTTTTTCTTATGAGCCTAATGGTTGATTCAGCTGTGATATTATAGTGAGAAATTAGAAGCTAATCACCCTCAGGGGTTAAAGGGTCAAGAGCTCTTACTCAAAAGTAGCCTGCTCCTGGCAGTCAGTTTGTGAGAGGGAGGGGGACCAGTAAATATGCAAGGGGGCAAGTAAATATACAGGGGGGCAAGCAATATGCAGGGGAAGCAAGAACAAGTAGGCAAAGGGGGACCGACCCCCCCCCCCTCCTCCCTTATTTTCTTCATTCTGCCCCTCTGGCTGCGAAGAGTGCTAAGGATATCCAACAAAACTAACTGATCGAAATGTTGAGCTTACTTTCTTTGGCGATAGGAGAGAACCTAGGCCACTTCTGTGAATCACTGTGCACTGCTCTTGTGAGGCGATCCCTCAAAGGCAAACATCTAATTATAATTCAGTTTTGTCAACTGAGTTGACAATGTAAAGTTGGCCCCCGTAAAGAGCTTCGAAAGCCTACGTCTCGAGCGTTAGCCCTTCGTTAGAGCAAATAGGCGAAGGGCTAACACTCGTAACGTCAGCTTTAAAAATTCTTTTCTATGGCTAATTTACGTTTTCAACTCAGTCAATAAAACTAAATTATCTTGTGATCCCCCCCCCCCCTGCCACCGACCACCCACGCAGCACTGCAGTGTATTTAGAAACTTACCTTCTTTATCTCATGAATAGTTTTTGTGTAGGTATGAATTTTACTTGTCTTGCCATTAATGCATTGATATTAAAAAGGTTAAAAACGAAACCTTTGTTGTTCAGCTCCAACAGGACTCTTCATTCCAACACAATGTTCTGTGGCAATTTGAAGATATCCAGATGCTTGTAGGATCCAACCTGCCCATATTTGGAGGTGGTAAATACCCTGCAGTCAGCCTAAGACTTAGGTAAATGGAAAAATCTCTACTGTAAGTTTACAACTAGAAAGTCATCAGATTTGAATGTGGTATTTCAGATGGGTAACTTTAAAGTCACTCAAATACAAAATTTATAGATATTCCTTACTGCTAAAAGCATCAAAGACTAATCGAGGCGGTGGCGAAGGGATTTTTGTTTAAAGGGAGGAAAGAAATTTACTAAGAGTAAAGATTTCCGAAACGATACACTCAGGGAACAACCATATGCGTTTACTACGAAAGAAAACTGAAAACAGCAGAAACTAAATTATGCCTAATAAACAATAACCAATAAGTTATTTGTTTAATCAAATAAGAAACTTTGATATAGTTATTCCTTATCCTTAGGGTATCGAGAAGTATTTGCTTAGTTTTATACGGAATTTGGATTTACTAAGCGTTCTATTACAGCAATGAACAGCATTCCAGATCAATACGCCAATCTGTGGAAATTATATTTTTTTCATTTACGCACTTCTGGTAGCGTAAACATTGAAGGATTCATTAGATGTGGTACAATTTTAGTTACCAGATGTTTTTCATGATGTGATAATCAGTTTTTTGGTCTTTGTATTATCAAAGTTGATTGTCCAGTTTTTTTTCTGATATTCAGAGAGTGTGGCAACCCCATCAACGTTCTAACAGGGTTGGATTACTGGCTGGATAACCTGATGTGTAATGTTCCAGAGGTAGCCATGTGTTACCATCTAGATGGCATTGTTCAAGTAAGTTGTTTGAAGAACAGTGTTGTATAATGGGCCATATTTAGTCATGGCATGTTGGTGAAGGTGGAGAAATGATCGTATAGTGTTAATCGTACGTGCCTCTTACTTCTGGAACCTAAGTTCGGCTCCCTGGGGCTGGCCTTTGTGGCGAACGGGTTTTTACCAACGTCCTGTCACGAGCCGCGAAATCCGCGGGTTCCGTGGCAGTGAGAGGTCTGGGAAGGGTCTAGCACGTGCCATAACCCTCGCACAACACAGTGGGGTCAAATGCCTACGTATGAGCGAACATTGAAACGATTGAACATCAAAAAGTAGCGCGTCACGGTGGTGTAAACTCTCATACCTCTTTTGATAAAACTTAAAACGAAAATGATAAATCAATAGAACACTCTTTATAAGATAAACTTCGTGTTCGAAAATTCTCCAGTTTCCTTCTTTGGTCCCCCTCGCACACACGCAGCTTGGCTCGCTGGCGCGAATCAGGCGGGCTTCGCCTCTCTTGCCGCAGCGATAATGACAGTCTGCTCGCAGGGTTGAGTTGGTTCTCAATTCTGAGCCACGCTCCAAGGATTTTTCTCAAAGGTTTTTTTCTGGACTCCTCTGGCTCTTATCCCTTGCCAAAAACCAACACTCAACCAGGGAGGAGTGAATGAAGAGTCACCGCTAAGAAGTGCTGTGGTTGAATCCAATATTATTTTCATGATACTGCGTGAAGAATGCCCCTAAAATAGTATTTTGATGAGTATAAAACGTCCAGTTTTATTATTGCCATTGGATCTTTATGCACCAAAAACTCTAATGGAAATAATGTTGCCAAATTTTAGCATCATCAACAAAACAGTATTTTATTGGTTTCACTCTGCAGTACTACGATCTTTATAAAACAGAGGAGTTACCAGACTTGGAAGGGAGTAATTTTTCTCCAAAGGTAATGTCATCTAGTTCACTCCCTTTACTCTCAACTCCTTTATATGTGCTACTACCAGAGAATCTGAACAGTGTCTTGAGGTATAGGTGTTGTTCAATACAGGAAGTATTCATTTCATCTCGGTACTACAACATAATTGCGTCAATAACAAAATGCTCTAAGATGATTGTTTCTTGAGCTCTCAGTAGCCTAATGATAGGTGCGCTGGTTTCCGGGTCGAGAGATTTGGGGTCGAAACCTGGCTGGGTTAAGGTGTTGTGTACTGGGGAAAAGCACTATATTCAGACGGTACCTCTCTCCAGTCAGGAGTATGAATGGGTACTAGCAAATTGCGAGGGACGCCTAAAGTAATGCTGGGGGGTGACCTTAGACTAGCATCCCATCCAGGGGGGAGGAGTAATACTACTAGTTGCTTTATGCTTAGGAAACGGGATAAGTCAAATTGGACGTAACCTGGCTGTTTCAAGTCCAAGCTTTCTGATTCCATCAGTCCGATTACACACACTTGTAAGCGGACAGGCCAATTTGGACAGTTAAGCAGCCAATGAAAATTAAGTTCTTAAAGCCGTCGGGCAATAAAACTCAGCTCCTCAGCCGATGGTCACAAAAGCTGGGCCCTAATTTAGAGTTCGCATCTGTTTGATAGAGCTGTCCCCTGAATGAAGATATGTGTGGATGAAATATGGGAAGACTTAGGTTGGTGTCCGCTTGATTCAGCATTCATCAAGTTGCGTGAGCTTCGTGGCATTTTTTTTTTTTGGCGTGACAAGTCTTCCTCTTCAGATCTTAAACAGCTACCCAACCCACCGAGTTCTTTTAAAGAGCACTCCACGGAATGTTTAGTTACACTCCCAGACACATTTGCTGGGATACTTACTGCATCCCCTCTCCCTCTCAATGTTAAAACTGAATGGAAGTGAGGCGGAGAAAGAACACCAATGACGTTGTTCTGGAGAAGTGCCCCAAATAATTATGTCTGGGAGTGTAGCCGCTTTTGTTATATTTTTCAGTTGATTATGTCTTTGAAATCTTCTGTATCATAATCCTGTCTTCTCTCTATCCTTAGGTCGTGAAAGATGTAGCACAAAATATCCTTTCTTTCATGAAGGCAAACTGCACCCGTGAAGGACACACCTATTGGCTTTTTAAGGGTACAGTGGTTTTTAAGTGGTTTTTAACTTTTATCATCAGTTAATCCATTTACACCATATTACTAATTTCAAGGAGAAAATGGACAAGTTGAGGTGCCTTAGGTTTTGGCCTATCCGTTTTTTAAATGTAAGAAGAAAGGTTGTAATGAAATAGATGTGGATCAAGAAGTTCGTGATCGTTTTTCTCACAGTGTAGTCACATCCCATGCGGATCTACATCGGAAGTAACTCCATCTTGAAACAAACTATCAAAAGTTTGTGGTTAATTGTTTTTGTTTCGTCACTTCATACACATACCAATCGTTTCATACAAGTTCACAACCTTTTTTTGTATTTTTTACTGTATCCATTGCTTTATAGCGACTGGCAGTGACGTCATTAAGTTGTATGACTTGACATCAATTTGTCAGCAGGTATGGAATTTGTAAGGATTATTACCCTATTATGACGAACATAGAAACAAACTATATCTTTATTTAGCAGATCATTTGAAACAGGGAGTTAGAAAACCAGTCAACCACAAAGGCTTATACTAAAGTCGACAGGATTGTTGCACTGGATTATTGGTGTATCCCCTTTTCTCTCGTATACTTGAAACTCGTTTTCCTTCTCTTTGATTTTACATGCGTTTCATTCTATACTCTGTGGAGCCAAAGGTCGCTTTTTCTACAAACCTTTTGTCAGATTGTGTCACCCAGTGTACTGAGGAGGTATTGAAGTATTTGTTAGTTTTGCAAGCGATGACGTTTGAACACTTCTTAACTTCTCAACTATTTAATAAACTAATACATGTTTTATGATGTTCTGACATGAACATGACTGTGTTTTTTCCACCTTCCTCTGACTACACAGCGAACGGACGACAAGACAGAGAACTTGTTTACTGTGCCAGTGGCTATGCTGTTCTACCGGTCAGTGTTACCTAATCATTTTCTTAGCACCAAAACAGGATTCTTGCGACAAGCACTGTTCGCGATCTAAAGGATTATGCCTGCGCAAAGCTCTCTAGCTGCCACCAACTATCAGAAGTTTTAATGTCACAGCTACTACCGCCTATCATATTGGAATTTTCTCAAATATTGCAAAATTCAAGTTGTCGGTTTAATGATGAACAAGTATGTTCAAAGGTAGTTCAATATTCCGAGAGCGCAGTCAATTGCTTTCCTTTACACGGGGAACAGAGAACTTTAATGTGACTGTATTACCGGTTCATTTAACCGAACAACTGCCGCGCAACTCGATCTTGTTCATTGTCTAATAATACATACGGCTCGCGACCGCGAGACGAAAACTGCGAACGGTGGGCTTTTTTAGCTTTAGTAGCTACTAGCAATAGTTGTTCCTGGCTCTTCTTTCACTCTCGGCACTTCGCGCCTCGCGCGGAACGCTTCGCTTTCTGACCTTACCTTATACGAAAATGTTCGTCAAGAGACGCGTAGAGCTCCCAATATCCTGTACAGACGTTTTTCAGTCCTGTCACGCAATGCATAATGGTAGAATGCGACAGGCCCTAATGGTTAACGCTGAAGGACGAGCGTTTCTCCAACCGCAGGAAGATTGGAAACGAGTCGGGGAGGGGTCCGTTGGGGGTCTAGGTCGCGTTTCTCAAGGCCTCACTCTATCCTGCGGGCTAACAAACGCTCGTGCTGAAGTGCCAGTAATAGGGCGTGCTCGAATGCTACGTTGTGGTGGATGGGGAGCTGGGAAGGGGGTGCGAAAGAACGCCTTGCGTGATAAGACCAAAACAACATCTGCGAATGGAACCACTCGAGTTACTGGTCCATAAGATTTTCTTCCTGAATATTGTTAGGTGTAGTTATTGATCGATGGACTTTTTAATCATCAGAGTTGCTAAAAATATGATGAATCAGTCACCGTTGAGTTCTGGGTAAGTGAGAAACAAGAACGTAATACTTGTTAGAACAGTAACCCACGTCTGATATCTTTGGACGACAGCAGGGGCCTTGAGCCGAGTGTATCAAATCGAGGCTTACCGGATTTCGTTTCCAGGGCCTCTCTTCTTCCTAATTGTGGAACGAGAGAAGGGCGGGAAGAACAGAGAGTCACGGAACGAGTTTTTCTTACTGGTAGACTTTCGCATTAAATGAATGGAAACAAGGACACAGTTTTTTAATGGTTAAACTTGCTCTGGTCGGCTATTCTTGACTTTAAATGAGTTCCCATTAGAGAGGATCTGTAGTCGGGATGATGGACAGCAATTCAGTGAACGAGTTTTTGATTTTATCATATCATATTTCGTGCATCAGACCCAATTCAAGCATGTAAATCGCAAGACGTTTAACAATACCCACCTCGCCCTCCTCCTTTACTTTCGTTTTAACCCGTGAACTCCCGAGATCTGATTGTTAATTCTCCTCTCTAGCTGTTACACTTTTCCTAGTAAATTAGTGACGAGAATTTGGTTTTAGATCAAGATGACAACTTTGACATGATAGGTCTGAGTATTCTCGTTACCTGTTTGCTGGATAATGTGTAGATATATCATAAGGAGAAGTTGTATGTTAATCACTTCTGGGAGTCAAAGGGTTAAGGAAAACGATTTTGATCCTAATGTCTGTTGCTGGTGATAGTGAATAATATTCTGACTTCTTGGACGAAGGGAAGGCATCAGAATCAAGGGAAGAATTGCATGTCAGTGTAAAGTTTGAGTTGTGAAATCTGATTTATTCGTTTGCCGTAATCGCGTTGGCTCGGACGTCAGCATTCGTTGGTCGCTCGGAGTAAAGTTTGATCCCCAACTTGAAGACTCTGCTGAATATTTAAATTATTTCTTAGATTGGTTTCCATTTTTTGTCAATTTAGGGAACAATCAACGGTTCGCCAGCTGCTCAATAACTGTCTCCTTTTGTTGGACAATGAAACATATCCCGAGGTAATGTATTTTCACCCATCTTTATTCTAAGCCTGTGCAACTTTTCGAATCATCTTATTTTTCATGTGGTGTTTCTTCAACTGCATACAAAGATATTTACGTTACTCTGTGTCCTTCGTAAAAATAGCAGTTGAGTTTCCATTTAAATAACTTACAGGCGTTAAGAATGCTTCAGTCAGTTCAAATCATTTAAATATTTTCCTAACTCCTTATGTAAGACGCTTATAGTAACTCGAAATATTCGACACTTAATCGAAAAGCGCGCTAGCTAATACTGCCTTACGCATGATAGGTCAGTGATACGTTTGGCATGTGTGTTTTGCCAGATTTTCTCATCAGCAAGCTTTTTGTTATCCGACCTGTACTCGCCCGATGATGTGCACGCCCTGCCAGCCATAAACACAACCGATGACCCGGAAGGCGATGAAGAGGAAAATAACTCTGAGGCTAGCCCTTCTGATGAATGGTCTGGACAAAGTGACGGAGAAACTATTACGGCCCTGAAGGTAAGACTTTAATCAAGTTCTCCTTAGGACGTTAAGGTTTCTCCCATCGTTGTTCGCCAGCACTGGAAATTTTTATTCAGTCGTTAATCGTTCTGCAAAGTCGCTCATCGATTTAGATCAGTCCGACCTATAACCATCATTACAAGGGTTGAGAATTTTTTTCCTCTCTCCGCGCAATTTTACCCTACCCTCCCTAGTACAATGTTTGCTTTACCCTGCAACCGTTGACGTACAGGGTTACACAGAGAGGGTATGTCAGAGAGAGTACGATAACTCGAACGCTTTCCCCAGAAAGCGCACTTGTCTATGATAATTTACTATGGTCAACGAACTTCTGCGTTGGGTCAGGCCACTTCATAGTTACCTTTTCCCTAAATGCTTGAAACAAGGACGGAAAGCACAGGGGGATCGCGAACTATTGTTCGTTGATTTGCGTCGAGTATTGTCAACCGAGACAGAAGGTAGTTTAAAGCGGCATAGGAGGCTGCATTCAGTATTAACGTAGTAAGGCAATGTTTTTGGGAAATATTCGCCTATTCCTCGCGTGAAGTTTCAAGTTCTTGCTATCGGCTCACTCACTTCTCCTTAGCTGTCAACGTACAAGACATGACCACTTTGCCCAAAATAACCCGTTGTAATTTTTATTTCCTCCAAATCTGAGTGAGTATTTTATGTTCTTCTATTTTACAGTCGCTCGACGTGACGAAACTATCGACTCCCATAACACAACAAGATGACTGGATTAAGGTACTAGCTGCATGGTAGTCCTACTGGCTGTTTTGCTATCGGTATCTTGAGCAAACTACGAAGTCGATGGCAAAGCGATCGGCAAGAAACAACTTGAAAGGTTTTACGAGGAGAACGATAGCTCTGCTCGTGTATTTTCTAACTTTGTTTATTTTCTAACTGTTCTCTGCAAAGCAACAATTAGATATTTTCTTTAGTCGGAGCAGAGGCTATAACAGCTTTTTTCCATAAGCAGCCGCCGATGGTTCATAGGTGGCTGTGCCCGGAAAAAGGCCGTAAGGCGTACTCCACACACGGGAGCCTGCGCCAAGACTAAACAGACGGTGAGCCATATGAGCTTTCAGGGCTACGGTTCTTCCTCTGAAAACATAATGTAACGTGAGCTTTTCTGCCGAGACAACAAACCTTTTCCCTAGGTGGTTTGCGTACTGAGGAGGCGGGGACGGGAGCATCTCTAACATTTTACTTTCTAACTTCTGAGAAAGTTCCGTTTTAATTTCTGAAAAAGAGATTTTTTTTCAATCATACAGGTTTCTAAGCCATTACCTAGCAACGTGGAAGAAAGGTGTAAAGTGGCTCTGTCGCAGATCGTAAAGGTAAGCTTTCTTGCAGTCTTAGCTGTTCAGAGACTCATTTGTCCTTAACGCTACATCGGGAAGAAGAGAGTGCCCTCAGGAATAGGAGCGCTGGAGTGTTCTATTCAAGTATTTCAATGTTTGAAAAAAATACAGCAAAAGAGCAGGCTATCAAAAGTGCATATTCAATCTCAAATAACCTGCTGTTCACGGGTAGATTTTGTTTGACTTGTTCAGATGTTATCGAAAGTTAAATGGCCAGAAATTGCTCAAAACTGGTGCTATCACTCGTATCTACTCACTTCGATGTTTGAGTTATTTTTCAGTTATTTTGTTTTATAAATTAAAAAAATAAATCTTTGTTAGCGTGTAGAGTTGCTCGCACCAATCAGATTGCCGCATTAGGGTATGTATCTCTCACCAATCAGATTGCCGCATTAGGGTATGTATCTCTCACCAATCAGATTGCCGCATTAGGGTATATATCTCGCACAATAATACCACAGCATTTGGATATTATACACCAATCACAGCGTTTGGGTATTGTTTTCTTGTAAATGATGTCATGGAATTAGGGGGCTGTGCACAAAGAATGACTTCATCCAGAAATTTTGGGTCAATTGATAAGCGTTATGATAATGGCCTTTGCAAAGTGAAGTCGAGATTTATCGCGATATGAAAGGTTCGCACTTACTTTTCTTGTATCTTTTTTTAAGTTAAGACGTGTTTTTCTGCTCCTTTTCTCACAGCGTACACGCCAAACAACTTACATTCCATCACATACCATGAAAACAACGTCCATAGTCTAATCAGAACATATCCAATCATTGCACTACATGAACATTAGACAATTTTTCACCTGCTTTAACTTTATTCTACCAATCAGATTCCATTTTGCCACATTAGACTTCGCTCCATCACATGCCATTTCCTTGTATACAACCAGCATTTTAACACTAAGCCTAACCACATTATTCAACCCCACTGAAAAAAATTCACAGGGAACTTAATGCTACTGATAGTGAATTTTCCATGCAATTCTTCCGCGTTTGATTTTTTCTACGCACAAAATTGCTTTTAGCTACCTTGGACTTAACCCAATCGGTGTTAATTCCTTGTAGGTAATTTAGTGTGAAGAATTGAGTAAAAGACTAACGTTTCGAACGTTAGCCCTCTCGCTCTGACGATGGGCTGACGCTCGAAACGTCATAATGCAGTTTCAGTTTGCTTTTCGTAGGAGAACCACTTGGAATTGTATTTTGAGGCAACTAACTGTAGACGAGTAATTTTGATTTTCTTTCTGTTAGAGGAACGGCAGTAAGCGTAGTTTCTTTCGCAACCGTTATTTGGCCTCGTCTCGCAACGCGTGCCCTCTCCAACGGGAAACAGAGGGCGTTGTGTGACGAGACTAAACAACGGCTGCGAAGTAGACAACAATAAGCGTGCCATCGGTGCATTTCATTTTCACTTAGAAGTATTTAGTCAATAGAGACAATAGACCACAAGATATATGTGTGAGTGCAGATAATTAAGTTTATGAGATGTCTTTCTGAGATATTTTTGTTCTTTTGAAAGTTTTGCTCTTTTCGGTTACAAAGATGAAAACAGAGTACGCAAACTGTCCCATCTCAACCCACTCAGCCAAAAAATAATTCTCGCATGCCACGCATGCCTACGTTATTGACTTGCAAAGGTACGTTATCATTGTCTCTCTCTCTCTCTATCGTTCCACATAATAGGGCCTTTCGTGTGTCAAAAAGCATTTGTCAGAAAGCAGCCCTCAAGGGGATGTCCTTAATAGTAACACCGATGACAGCTCCTCTTCCGAAGGCGCCCCATTTCCATCCCAGTCTCCTAGAAGTGACGCGGTATCGAGTTCTAAATCCCCCCAAGCAGTTGTTCCTACTAGTTCAAAACACCTTTATCTGTATAAGAGGGAGAAAACTCCTCTTGTCCTTAGAAGGCCGGTGCGCTGGCAAGCAAGGACGGCTGGCTTATTGTTTCACAAAGCGGCGTCTGTCTATCACTCGCTGGCCTGTACTTTTAATTCAAACGGCAAGTTTGGCCGCGGTCTGAAGAACTGTAAACTTGCATTTAAGTGTCTAGAGGCTTCTCAGATTTTTGGTGTGGAGCCAAAGAACAAGAAAGGTAACGAGCTACCTTAGATACCCTCCTAGATCGCTTTACGTCAGCAACAATTTCTGAAGGTTGGCCAGACACTGCCTTTTATTAAAAGAAGAGCAAAGTAACTTTTTGAATTTCGATGTAGCTAGGAGCCCTTAGCTTTCGAGCAGGTCCTCATTATCAGCGCTTCGGCACCAGTGTTTCTTCGCCCGCTAAAAAGTGTGAGGCCTTAAGAAACGCGAGCCTGCGAGAGGTCTGCCAGCGGTTTAGCACTTATGATGAGGCCACATGGTAAACCTTTCCTTGACTTGGCTCAAATTTTCCTGCGGGCAGAGAAACGCGCGTTCTGTAGAGCTTATATTGAGGGCAGGTTGATACGTTTGAATGAAAAAATGGAAGGTGGATGGGAGTTTTAGTTAGAGTTTACCCTGATGCTTGGCAAAGCTCAGGCATACAGTATTTGAATGTTTTAGCCGGACAATTGCAATTATTGACAGAATCACCAGATCGAGTGGACTGTTCGGCTAGTTCTGACTATTGGTAAGTGCCCTGGGGCTCCTGTGCAAATTGGGAGAATGCTGGCAACCAAAAAAAGAAGAGTAAATAGAACGTAATTGTATGAGATGTTAATGTTTTTTTTCCTGTGGAAATCAAAAAGCAGAGCCACTTAGCGATGGGTGCTACTGAGATTTTGGGGTCATGAAGAGATATATTGTGTTGCTAAGTACCTCTTTCGATTTAAATTGCTGGCTTATTTCGGATCTCAACTTAACGCAGTGCTTAATTTGCACAAGACAGTAGCCTATGGCATAAGTCAGGGTCACGTTGTTTAAGAAAGTTTCTTGTTACATATTTAGGCGACCAGTTGCTGATCTCGGTTCAGTTTGTGTGCGGAGACTCCTATCTGATGCTGGCCAAGTGTCAAGGAAATTTAGCTGTCCATCAGGAAGATTATCGTTTTAAATCCGAAGAAGACGTTTTCATGTGCGATGCGGCCGAGGAGTGCATTTCCGGTCAAGTTGAATATTCTTCTAGTGTTAAGTTTGTGTCAGATGTGGAGAAAAATTTACTGAAGAGGCAAGTTTGCTAACCAATCAATGGATGTCTCAACCCTTTAACCTCTAAGAGTGACCAGCATCTAATTTTTCCCTTCAATATCACCCCTGGATCAAACATTAAAGACATGAGAGGATAGGAAATGATCACCAAACATAGAAGCTCTTGATTGTTCAACTAGTTCTCCCTTTCAGTGAAAAAGAAAATGTTCGAAGAAGAGTAGGGAGAATACAGATATTGATGTTCAGGTGTAAAGGGTTATCATCACGGACGGTTCATACACCCTCACTTAGGATTCTCTTGCTTCTTTGTCTTCCTGAGAAGCCCTAGAACGTTTTTATTAGATAATAATGTCCCACAAAAACTCGGGATTTTAAATTTATTTCTGTGAGATTCGTACAAAACTGAAATCAGATCGTGGCATGGTTGAATAAAACGCCCAATCGCCCTTTGTCCATGAAGTTATGTTAGTGAGTTTGATAGGTCGTCAAACTCAGAGATTTGTTGCATTGTACTCGTTGGGTTCTAAAATTGAATTTGTTGACGTTTGATCATCCCTAGTGTTAGCTTATATGACGCCGCCCTTCAACTCGCAACGACAGACACCAAAGTGGAGCTGGTGGTAAACTTAACAAGACGACTGGGGAACGTTAAGAACGAGTTGGGCGTGTTTTATATGAACAAAGCCGCTTCCCTATTGGACAGCAGCTCAGAACCCTCTAATGAGGAACGAGAACTGTGGAAGAAAAGCTTCTCTAATTTCGACAGCGGTATTCGCACTTTTGATGTAACAGATGACAGGTTCGTTTTGAGTGTTATGTTGTTTTAAAAAAACTCATATGAAGGCTTGTCTTCACTGGCGATGGAGTCTTTTAGAAGTGTTTCTAGGAGTGTTTCCTAAAAAAATGAGATTCATAAGCAGAGTTATAGGCTTGACGGGAGCGGGGTCGAAAGGATCAGAACGATTCCATATTCTTCGCGTTCTTTTCATGTATTTGAAGCTAATGAGCAAGTAAAAAAGTAACTTGTTAGAGGGTGAGCACTTGACTTCACTGTTGGCATGCTGGTCTCCCGTGAGTTAACCTGCAGTGGCGGTGTAATTTTTTTGGGTTTTCTTTTTGCGGAATCTCTTGCGTAACCGCTCGCTTCTCGCTCACTTTTGCTCTCCTCAAAAACGCTAAAAATTTAACAAACATACAAAACAATGAAAGAAATCGCCCGTTTTCCAGGGTACCCTAGGGTTGTAAAGTAAAGTTCTCATAAAATTTTATACTTTGTTCAGGACCGAGAAGCGAAAACCACACTTGATATGTTTTCGGCTTAGGAAGTGCTCCTAAAGAAGCATTCAACCTTTTCTTTTTTTTTTATCAGCGGCTCAAATGACATTAGTTTACAATAATCTATCTTGTGTATGCTTTCTGTATCTTGTCATTTTGAGAAAATTAACTAATCCGTTTACATCTTTATTTTCATTTCGACCGCTTTTCCTGTTTTTTTAATCTACAGTGCAAACAAGGCGTTATTGCTGTCTAATTTAGGCCGTCTGATGCGGCTATGCGCCCAAGCCGTGGGAGGCGTGGAAACCAAGCTGACAGGAAGAAGGGGAGAGTTCACTCAGGAGGAGAGAGGATATTTTAACAAGGTTCGATGTTGTGTTTGTTCCACGCCTTTACGTTGTTCCGCCCAGTTCTGGAGCTGACATGTCATAAACCCGGCCAATTTCAACGTATTTTGTTACGTTTTTTGGATTAATGTCAGAATCTCAATACTGCTCCGTCACCTACCCCTTCACAAACCCAACAGCAGTCAACGGATAGAAAGTTAGGGTTAACTTTGGGTTACGGGAGGGGTAGGTGCGCAGTTGAACTGATACTGACATTGATCTTTTTTTATGTATTCAGTTACCTAATTCAACATTAACATTGCGAAAACAGTTACCAAATTTGTCACGGTACGCTGTACTTTACATTAACAATACGATATATGAGCATTGTTGGCATTGCCAATACTACTTAAAGTAACACTGTTGGAGCGTTATAAAAGCAACACCAGTGATCACAACTACCAATCAGAACAAGGGTTGACATCATCAATAACCAATGAAAACTTAAAGTAAAAGTAGGTAACCTGCAGGCGTCAAGCGCGGGAAAGCGAGAGTGACCAAGTTGAGATTGGTCTTAGTTTTGCATCTGATTGGTTGAGAGAGTAGCACGAGCTCTTTGGACCGATCACGAAGCAAAGTGAAGCAAAACCCAAGTAATTCAAGGTCACTCTCGATACTCTGTTGAAAACTGCCCGAGTCACTTCAAAGAAAACTCGCAACGATAGTAACACTACTGAAATTACACTTACAATACCATACTTGCATGACATTTTCATTTACCTTTCAGCCTAATCGTATTAACCTTGTACAGTAGAGTATAGAACATGGGCAGTTTTTAATTGAATGTGGTGTAAAGGACGTTTACTTGACAACTGCTCGATATTGTTTTCACCCTCACGAAGATCCGCGCTGTACTCAGGTTACGAAGTGCTCTCTAACTGACCTTAATTATGATTCTTGTTGCATTGTTACCTGTTGCTGCCCTAAGTCCTTAACTTTTTTTGTTCGGCTAATTCTAAAAGCACTGTTGATCCTTTGCGATGCGTTTTTTTCCTCTCTCACCAGATATCGTGGATGTGATCTAAAGAGTTTGCCTTTTTTAACGTCAAACTGCAACCATGTACACAATCCTTACACTTTTTGCAACCTTATAACCGATCATATCTCATTCTTTCTCTCCATAATTTTACCACGATTATTTGAACCAAATCGACTACCCTATATAAAATTTCCCTTTTGTCTTTACAGGCTTTTGAGTTCTACAACAAGGCTCTTCGATGTTTGGCTGACAGGAAGAAAAGTCCAGAGGTCTGGGACACAGTCACGTGGGAGTTATCGGGCTCCTACTTTTCAATGGGGACCCTCCTACAAGATTTTGCACCCCTTTCCACTTATGCTCAAGAGCAGGTAACGGACCTTTGTGACGGTACCAGTCAAGCGTCAGTTGACGCAGAAAAGGTCCGAAATCCAGTTTAGTGCAGTCCATTCGAGTCCAGAGCCCATTCAAAGTCTATGGGCCGGTTATTTTCACGAGCTTTAACCAAAACCGTAGTTTTACGCAAGCAGTGGGCCTTACGTATTCTCTGCAAGAGGGTTGTTTTAATTAAATAAATATCACTTCACGGCTAGCTTTCGGCCCTTTAGACACTGTTCACAAAAATAAATGTTCAGATAAAAGATTCAGCGAAATTCAAGATAATTTAGAACGCAGTTTTGTTATCAGTGATAAATTATGACTGGTCCATTAGAAGCTCTTCCTCGTGATCATCTCTCGCTCTTTCTCAAGAGAGATTAAAATTGTTTTCCTATTAGCGGCGATCTTTTCAGTTTGAGGACTTCTGTTTGTTATGTCCATTAGGTTGAACAGGAGGTAACTGAGCTGATGATGAAAGCACTCCGTCTGTGTGAACCAAGTGTTACTTTGAGTACGCCACACGTTAAACCCCGGTCTCTTTACCAGCTCTATCATCGGATAGCTTCAATTCACCATCGGCTGGCGTCTCTTTACCACAATTCTTATAGGAACCAGGTCAGATTGAGTAAAAAGTTACTCTGATTTTTGTCTGAGAAAGAGAAGGTTCTTAGCATGAATCTGGAGATGAATGATCCCGTCCCGTGGTGCATCATGAGTGTTTTGGGTCGTGTGCTTGTTTGTGTTTTTCTTACGGTGATTAACTTGTTTAATGATAAATCGCTGATTGGGTGGCCGATTGATCGATGTTTTGGTCGCTCGATGAATTGAGAGGTTTGCCCATTGACCATACCAACGGATGGACAGACGGACTGATTGGCTGACTGACTTTCTGAATTACTGTTTGACTGGTTGGCTGATAGACTGGCTGACTGGTTGACTGACTTACTGATATACTGACTGACTGACTATTTGACTATTTGACTGACTTACTAACTGGATGGCTGGCTGGCTGGCTAGCTGGCCGGCTAGCTGGTCGACAGACTGGTTAACTGGTTTACAGACAGTTTGACAGACTGACAGACTGATTGTTTGACTGACAAACTGACTGTTTGACTGACTCAAACGTTCGCCCTGAAGAAGGGCTAACGGTCGAAACGTCAACTTTGAAACCCTTTACGGTGACCAATTTACATTATCAATTCAGTCGATGAAACCAAGAATTATGTTATAATCCCCCACCGACACAGCACCACAGTTTCTTTAGAACTTAACCCCTTTAAAGTTTGACTGACTGATTGTCTGACTGACCGTCCAGATAAACATGGAGAAGAGAGTCATGCGCTCTTTTAATGAATTCAATTGCATTCAACTATATTCATTAAAGTTTTTTCTTTTCAAGGCTGTTGATCACTCAAAGAAGAAAGCGCGCTCTCTAGCGGAGTTACACTACAGCAAGGCTGTGGCGTATTTCGATGCCACTCGGTACCCCTGTGAGAGGATTCGCATTCATTTGGAGCAGGTCGCCATGTGTGAATATCACGTGACCACTTACGGTGGGTCTGCGGCAGCCATTCGTAGTTTACAGTCAGCTTTGGAGCATTTGTGCCAAACTAGGACAGCTTTAGAATATTTGGGAACATTAAAGGTTTCCGAAGAGAGTGAATGCAAGACTGCAAAGGGTGATGAAGGTTCCGAGTCACATATAGTCGTTTGGGATGAGATAAGGACGCTAGTTCCGATTTTGGAATCGCGTCTCACAAGTGTTTTGAAAGAACTTGTGAAGGCTAACAGTACGCTTAAGAACAAAGGAAAGTCGAGCAGGGACTGGGGAGGACTGGAAATGGCCAAGCAGATGTACTCTGTTGCATTGCGGAGCAGCAGTAGCAGTGGGGTTGAGGATATTGTCAAAAAATGCCAGAGAATAGCTGAAACTCTCAAAAACCTCCAAGAAATTAAGAAGCAAACGCAGTGATGCCTCTGCTTCTCACAACTTTAGCAGAAAAGACCCCCCCTGAATAGGGAGTCCCGTAAGACGTTTATGTGAGAGCCCCTCTACAGTCAAAATCCAGCCTAATTTCCCCCCTTTCTTCTTTCCTTCCTTCCTTCCTGTAAAGGGATCTTACATTTGATTAAATAGGTAGTTGATGTGAGAGTCGTTTGGTTCGGACAGACGGTGTGTGCCTCAGTTTCAAAGTAAACTGTAGATTGTTCTAAATTATTACCTTAGGTAGTCGGTCATCTGTAAAGCGCGCTGAGGTTATGTAGCTGCGTTGTCGAAGAATTTTATTATTGTTAATATTATTGTAAATGAAACTTTTACAAGTATTCTTGTGAAAGCAAACTCGAACTGATAGCTCCTACTCCTTGCAGGTAAAATATTTTCATGGTAACAATAGCAACTTAACCAAAGCGCTATTGCATGTATGTTCAGTCAATTAATGTCCATTAATGTCCGCTCAACACTGTTGCTGAGGATGATGTAGCAGAGAATGTTACAAGGAAGCAAACCTGGGATCATGGGATCTAAACAAAATTAAGTGAAAAGGGAAAGTCTTTGAAAACTAAGCGGTTCTGGTGAACAGGATAGTGGAGTGGATGGAATATTTGATATATCAAGGTAAAGATAATGCGTGTTTGCCTTTAAACAAACATGTTGTGGAATAATATTCGTCCTTTTTTCCGCTAGATGTCACTAAGGTCTCAGGAAATTTATTTAGACGCGTCGTACTCTCGCAGCTAAGGCGAGAGTAAGTTTTACTCTCAAGATTTTTCTTGATTAATAAAGATCCAAGATGATTGGTTCACAATCCCTGGAAGCTTGGAAAGGAACCATATTAGTTGAAGACTACGAAGAGTGCTTGCTATTTAAATCTTGTTCAGAGGTAATTGTATTCACAGACAAATGCGCGTACGAAATCTCCTCCCTGGAGGTGTGGGCGGAGAAACCACCACTCCCCGCACGTAAAAATTTTGGAGAGTGTGACCTCTGAGAAAGAGGGTGCATTTGTCGAATTTCTAGGGGAAGATTCCTGGATGGAAAAGTCAGCCTTGAGGGTCTTGTTTTAGAAGTAAAAGTATTACTTTGAAAATTCTCGTCAGAATATGGGAACATCAAAAAACAACAAAAGAGTACCCCTAAAGAAAGACTGGCCGCCGACCGACTGGAGACCCCCTGTTACTCTAATTTCTGCGTTAAATTAAGTTAGTCAAGGTTAGATAGCGTAAAAGGAAAATTAGTCGCACAGGGAAGCCAAACCGCGGTTTTTTCTCCCGCCTTTAATTCAGGCCACCCACCTCATCTTCTCTTGATTGTCACAGCGTTAGGTCAGTATTGTGCCCACCCCTTTGAATGCTTAGCGGCCTTCTGCCCTGATATCCTTTGCTGTTGCATAAAACCGTCTAATTTATTGCATAGTTAGCTCTACTAACTATGTTTATTGTCTACGTGTCTTAAACTTCCCAAGTTATTGTTTTCTTTCGATGAATGGGATTCAAATGACTTTTTTCCAGATGACAGAGTTCGAATAAGCAGCCGTGAAAAACTGGGAACGATACTGCTGACGGTGCTAATTTTTTCGCGCCAATGCCCGCGAATAGCAAGAGCATAGTATTCGACAAAATGCAACAAGTCGCTTTTTTTGAATCGCCAGTAGGTGCTTACGAGATCAAGGCCGACGATGATGGTATCACAAGCATTAATCTGAAAGGGGAAAAGCTAGAGGCAACCGAAGAAAACAAGAAACTGGACCCCAACAGTCGCTCCACTCGACACCTCAAGGAATGCATTGCTTGGATGAATGCATATTTCTCCAATTCTCCTATGCAGAAAGTTAAGGTGCCGTCTCTGAACGTCCAAGAGTATGAAATTAGCAAGCCATTTTGCTGCAAAGTGTGGAAGATTCTTACGGATCGGGTGAAGCCAGGAGAGACAGTGACTTATGGAGAACTTGCCAATATGGCGGGCAATCCTAAGGGTGCAAGGGCTGTTGGAATGGCGATGAGGACCAATCCCATCCCTATTATCGTACCTTGCCACAGAGTTGTCAAAAGTGGAGGCGGTCTTGGAAATTATAGCTCATATAATGGCGTTGTCACTAAGAAATGGCTTCTTCAACACGAGAAGGCCATCATTTAACCTTTTAAACCCAAACACGAGTATATCTTTATTCTCCGTTCTGTTCACGTACGTTTTCTATGGTACTGACAAGGAGAGTCATTCCTCTATCCTCATGAACTTGATGAATGATTCAGCAATATTATTGTAAGGAGAAGTTAGATGCTGGTTACTTTAAGGGGACATGGGGTTTATAACCTTTAGATATTTGATTATGTAGGAATTCCCATATATAAGGGCAACTGAAAGGTGTAAAGGAATTCACAAACCTAAGGCCTGTCTCTTGAAGGTCTGGGTAAATTAGCAGGCCCCTAAGGTTCTACTTTCATCAGAGATAGGGATTTCAAAAGTTTTGAAAATGATACAATAAATTATCAGCTAGAAAATCAAAAGGGACTGGTAAGGATGCTAGAACTTGTTTCTCTTTTCCTGAAATTTTTTATTTGAAAGTTAGTTTACCATGACTTTCAAGAAAGGGGCCCCTGGTTCATATTCATGTTGTGTTAATGTAAAATCACTATTTCATGAAAGCCAGAGGTAGACGAGTCTTCAGCAATTAAATATGTAAAATGTCTCTAAGGCATGTTATGAATTGAGAATATGCGATAATATAGTTATATGTAACCTTCCAGTATGATATTATATACAATTTAAGTTTTGCATTTTTCACCATCTGCAAACTACAGCATGAATTATGCCCAAGATTTTGCTGGTTGGTATATGGGCATCATGTCAAGACAAGCTACCCTAGTGTTTAGGTAACAGCAATATACTTAATAAAGTTTATTATGATTGAAGGAAACTAAATGCACCAAAGTTAGACACAAAAACCCAAAAAACCAGCAGGTGCAAAAAACAGGAAGCATGTACTTCAACCAAGGCAGTGGTGCCACCCTTGGGGTTTTAGGGTATCCTTTGAATAACATGATATACACAGCTTGATAATGGTAAAGCTGTGAGTAAAACCTGATGTGAAAATGACAATACTTCAGAAAAAGGAAAAACTAAATAAATTTAAATGAAAATGAAACTTAACACAGGGAAGGCTAAATGTAGAATGCCTTGCCTTACTAACAACCCCAACTTACAAACTATGGACCAAAAACTCTCATTGTACCTTGCACACTCCTCTAGTCCTCTGATATGTGCTGGGAAAATATCAATTTATGCTAATTAGGATTAACACAAATTACATCATTCACCTTCTTTGGCTAGGCTGTGTGAGGCTACCTGTTCCTTGAAATTAATCATTCTCACCCTGGCACTCTCATTTTTGGCTTTTTTTGGTTTTTTTTTTGTTTGTTCTTGGTTTTCTTGTTTTTCTTTTTGGTAAATGAGTGGGCCACTGCCTGTGGATCAAGCTGCATATATATGAACTGTCAATGGTGCATGACATGAAAGGTGCCAATTCAACTTGGAGTGACTTTCAACCCCTTCACCTCCCACCCCACATGACAGTAACCATACATTTTGTGAAATATTTGTCTTCACACATTTGATTTCTTTCTGAGATTCGGACTTTGTCACAGAAAAAAGCATCACAGAAAGTCAAAACATGCAAAATTTTGACAGTGTGCACATGCTATTTGTAATTTACCCCCATTATACAACTGCACTTGTGTTGCATGAAAAATGCACTCATTTTCAACCAATCAGAAGCACATGATTTCTTTTTCATGTGTGTTATTAGAGATTTAATAATCACATCTAGTTTTGATAACCAAAGAACACTGCAGATTACCACAATCTTAAATAAACCTGCATAGAAATGGATCAGACTAACCTAATGCTGCAGATGCCACAGAATAAAGGAGTGATAGGCTTCCAGAGGTAGAGGACAAGCAAAAGGAACAGTTACACACATCACTGCCTCCTTAAAAGGGATGTTCTTGACACTGCCCTTAAACAGGAGGAGAAATAAAAAGGGACACCCACAGAGGTAGCAAATAATTCTTTTATTTCTAACAGAAAGGGTTTCATCACAGGTAGTGATTGATTAGAGAACTTTAATGTTAAGGGCAAAACACCCTGCAACTTGTAGAAGATTGAGAAATGAGTAAAGCAAGACAAGCATCTGTCACCATTAATCTATGGTCCCTATTCTATAATTTCTTGAGAAAGAATAATCTACATTGAAAATAAGAGCTGAACGCTAGATTTTAAGGGGTTGCAATTGAGCAATATCAGACTCAAAATTGTGTTAGCTTAGAAGCATGCCCTCATTATTGGCAGTGCAAGACCTGCATTTCTTTGCCCATGTGAAGATTGGGGACAAGTCTAAGAGAGATGTACCAAGGGTCTGGCACCAATAATCAGTGCCACACCCCTTGCAAACCTCTTCCCAGCTTACATTGCTCTAGAACTTGTATTTTTCCATAGGCAAAGAGACACTCACGAAGCACTAATGATAAGGATCTGCTCTTAAGCTAACAATAATTTGGCACATAACCTTGAGTTACTTGTTATTTTGAAATTCAGCATTAAACTGAAGATAGGGTATTAAATCTCTACAAACTCAAGAATCCAGTCCAGTAACCTCTTGCCAAAGGTGTAGTAAGGTTACTAAATTCACAAACATTTAAATCAAGCATAGGCATAGTAAGCCATTGACACCGATGATACCCAGTTAGTATTCAGCCATACACGGACATCCTTCCAGCATCAAATGTTCATTTTTCATGTTAAGATTACTGGTCCTTAGTGATGTAAGGCCATCCTCTTAACCCTTTGACCCCTAAGAGATTCCCAGAAGTTAATAACATCTAACTTCTCCTTACCATTCCAACAAGTTATCTTGAATACAGGTTATGAGAACAGAGAAGCTTATCAACCAGAGGGTGTTACTTTGGAATAAGACCAACTTCTCCTGTCTAATTTATAAGGAAAAGTATGGCAGTCATAGGAAGAATTATTCATTAGATCTTGGAGTTAAAGGGTTCAAATATTTACCATCCTATCATCTAACCTCATGTTACTTTAACAAATAAACAAGGTGCAATATACTGACACATTAACTGATTGACACAATTCTTTTTCTTGCTAATTTTAATTTAACACATATTAAAGATTAAGACTTAAATTTAAACACAATTTGTTTTTTCTAATGTCCTAGCTTGTATTTAATATCAAAAGTATTAACCCTTTAACTCCAATTAGTGATTAAGACAGAATTTCTCCTTACAATATCTGTACAATATCAGGCAGACAAGTGATGAGAATAAAGAATAAGTCTTAATTAGCTAATTATTAGTTGATCCAATACCAAATTCTCAAAATTTGCATCTTTAGAACTGTACTTAAGACAGTTAAGAGAAGTACTAGATAAAAATGGGATTTTGGGAGTGAAAGGGAACTTGAACTCAAGTTACCTTCATTAATTGTTTTGTTACTTTTCTTTGCCCAGCAATTGACTCACTTTCAAGAAAGGGATGATGGTGACAAAAAACAAAACATTTTAAAGGGATGGCCTGATTTACATTCAAGTGTGCATTGTTCGTAAAAGCTGGGTATGTCCTTCCGGAGAAGAGGATGCTTGAGGGCAAGTAGAACATTCTTGTAATAACATTGTGATTAACTTCTCAGTTGTTCCAGGCAATTGGCAGGCATACCCTGTTCTCACTTAATTTCCTTTAGGCTGTTTTTCACTAAACCAAGTGCCTGAAATAGGCTCCTGGTTGAGAATTCTTCTGTATGGGTGTTTGACACTTCATAGGACATAAAAAAAGTTTGTAGCAGCAAAAAATGCCTGCCTTGAGTTACAACCTTTTAGTTTTCAACAGGTGTAGGTTGCGGCAAAATTACTTGCACAACATGACCTTTGGGAATTTTCGCCTCTCCTATTGTGGTCTTGTCAATCAACATTCGCCCTGCATAAAACCATCTCTGCTTGGATGGCTCAATCCCTTCCACTTTTTGAAGCTTTCTCTTAATTTTAAGGACAGTGTCTGAAGTATATACAGTCATTTTAAGGTCCTTGCCGGTGGACAAGCGAAGTTTAATATACAGTTCTTCCCCTGTGGGCACTGAGTCATCATCTTCAACTTCTGCACTGGCCTCACCACTAACATCTTCATCTCTGATTAAATTTGTTGGCTTGCTCACACAATAAACTGGGAGGACATATCTGTTACCAAGTTCATCATATGCATCTTGCAATGATCCTTAAAGAAAACAAATTTAAAGTTAACACATGGAGAACTAGGTAATCTTACTCACTTAAGCATCATACCCCAACCCACAACTTTCCTCAAATGTTGTTTAATGATAAAGGTATGAGGCTCTGAAAGCACTCTGGAATAACCTGACTTGTCATCAGTCTTCAAAAGTGCGAGACAGAGGAAGGGTCACACAGTGAATACCTTTTACTAACCAAATTTGAGGTCCAAACTGTAAGTTACAGACGGAGTTTTTCTGTTCAATAAATCTGAGCGGGGTTCCATAACTTACAGTACAAACTGCGGAAAAACAGTTTGTAAGATATTTCTTATATGTCTGAGTTCAAATGGAGGGGAAATTTTTCAATTCAAACAAACATTTAAATTGAGCAGGTCAGTGAAATACAGCCTGCTAAACTGACCCATCATGACCCATCATGACCCATCATGACCCACATACTACCTGAGAGAGAAAATAAAGGGCAAAATGAGACAAGATGATCCTCTGCATTCCCAGCTCTCCCTAGACACTTCTAAACCTCTAATCCTGAACATCTGTATAGTGATTCTCCCTTTCTGTTGCTCAGTTTTCCTTAAAATCAATTACCAGAATTTGGTATTCCATATGGAATCCACCTTAAGCTGATTATCATGCCTACTCTCATTACCTGTTGGCTGAATTAATTGAAATGGGGGGGGGGAGAATGGAAACAATGAGCACTGCTGAATCATCTTTCAAATTTAACCTTGTGTTTACCTGCAATTACCACTACCCAAAATTTAAGTTTGTCGTGTAATATCCTGTTTTCTTATTTTCCTACAATAATAATTGCTACAACAGATAAATAAAATTTGTATGCTAGACAGGCATTCAGTTTATGAAAAAAATTGACAAAAGTAATTAGAATAACATTAATTGTGGTCTTGAAAAAATTTTTAGTTAACATCTTGATTGCTGAGAGCTGACACTCACAATTCATGAGCAACACAACTACTCAGCTAATACATTCAAATGAGCATCTGAAGATACATAAATGTCTATTGATTGTTCAGGAAAGGAAATATTCAATTTTCTTTGACATGATGGGGAAGTGTATTTCTAATACACCTCCCTTAAGCAAGTACAGCTTTCGAACCAACCGGCTGGTCAGGTGAGAGCAATTTCCGCTTCACCCACACGAACTCGATATGTTCAGCTACAATACGATCAACATAAACTCCCGCATAAATTAGAGTACATCTTGGTGTTTATGTCGAGTGATGTCTCTTGATATTATATTCAAGGCTACAGCTTGTTTGAGTTTCCATTACCATTTAAGTAAACAACTCAGCAATAGAACAGAGAACTAAATATAGTCTTTTGGAAGCGCGATCAGTTATCGAAACATGTTGAAAGTTGGCACTTGGACCATCTGCAGCATATACACAGTCTTTCATGATTCGCGAGTGCATTTTTAAGAACAGGATGCGAACCTACTGTCTCGCATCTTAACAACAACAAAAAATAAGTATTGCACACGAACTTCAAATCCGTTTTTTGACGTGGTAAATCGCTATGGGTATATTAGATCAGCCGATTAGAGACGTTTAAAGACTCATAGGAATACCGACAAAATTTACAGAGAATTCTACTCGGACAAAAAAATTCATCGCTATGGTATTTCTTGCGTGACTTGAGCGATCGTTCGACATACATTTTTAGTTCCCTCGCCGTGCTCCAAATTAAGACAACTTCTCAGCGCTCACCTGTGGGAAGAGTAATGTTTGCTCCATCTACAATTGCTTGCGCCCAAGTATGATCGTCCGTTTCAGCAGCTGCTCTTAACGCATCCCAAATCTCCTTCCGCCCTTCAAAAGCAGGCGCAGTCTCCCAAAACTCCTCTCTTTTACTACGGAGTTGGCCTTCTGTAAGAGGAATTTCAGAAGTCCATGGCGGTCTCTCTTTCTTCAGTGGTTGATTGCGACCCAAAGTAACTGCAAAAAATAAAACAGTATCGATCAACTCAAAGCACATTAGTTTTTTTTAGTCCCCGTTAATCGACAATAGAACTTGTCAAGACATTAAGCGAAGATAGAAACTAGTGCATTAACTACAGTACCTCCTGGCGTACTACCAAATTGATCGCTACCAGAGCTGACTCTTATGCTTGGATCTCGAGATGTTCCCATACAACCACCCATAGTTACGACTGATGAAGAGGGTTAACCAAAAAGAAATTACACTGCACCGCCAAAAAAGGGGTAACAGAGGTCGTTCTCCTCCATTACGCTGCAGATCTTTTCCCTCTGCTACCGTACGAAAAGTTCCTGCGAAATCAATTGATATTCGCTCGATACGTGACGTCAGAGGTAAACAGAAGTGGACATGCGCGCTTGTATTAACATTTTCTCATTTTTCCATTTGTTCAATTTATTGCATTTCAGTATTTCAGGAAGTAATTGCCGAGTGACCCCGGTTCACTTCAGCTCTTATGTAAATGGCACTGAAACTTTATCCGGACTCGTGCATCTTTCATCTTATCTTGAAGCTTTCCCCAATTTTTTCCAACCCCTAATCATTTTGCTGTTCTTCAATGTGTGTTTACCACAAATTTCAACCATCAATCCCCCTGATCTCTTTACTTACAAAAATTTACATTCCCTGACCAAATGAATGCAAAGCTTAACACACATCCTTGCCAAATCTCAGTTGTGCATACCATACCATAGAAACTTAGAAAATGAGAAAATTTCTTTCTCCACTTACAATGGGATAAAAGTGGCCACAAAAGCTTTCTTTGGCCTTCAATGACATAGCAAGTGACCTTAAATTTTAAATCATTTTTCTGTCTTTGAATCAAAAATCTAATTTGTTTTTTCAAAATATAATTCTTTCCATTTTCCTCTTAATATGATACAAAAGAGACCCAGTATTCTGCTGTTACAGGTGTAAAAGCAAACCTATTCATGACTAAAAAACTCTAAAAGCCACGTATAGTTTGTCAAGTTTAAAAAAAGAGTGTGCTGAGAAAAAAGTTTAGCCCTGAGGATTTCCTTTATTGCACTATGCATGAATTATGAAAGACTACAAACAGCTGTTTTGTTTGTCAATTCTGTCCTGGATGGGAACAAAATGTTTCTCATGTCTTCAGTAAACAGACAATAACTAGAGCCAAAATGTAACACCAGTCTTTAATGCAAGAACTCAACCCATTCGTGACTAAGTTAAAGCAAAAAAAAAGAAAGTAGCAGGAAATACTGTAGGTGGTAAAACAAAGAGGCCCTTCACAGGTTCTTGAACTGAGACAAACCCAAATCTTGAATCATCATCATGAACCACATGAAAAAAGAGAATTTGAATGATTTGAGTTTGTCTGAAAGTAACAGTAAGTTTTGGAACCCCCTTAAAAATCTTGTTGAAGAGAAAAGCATAGTATGCAACAAACAGGTTTAAAGCTAGAATGTTTTCCTCTCAATCACAAATTTCACTGAATGTTGAACAGTCATTTCACATTTGAAACCAAAGTCTTGTTCAGTAACTATCAGAATTTTTCATCAGCAAAAATTTTCTTCACTGAGTTCAACAATATTGAAAGCAGTATTAAATACCACTAACCAAAGATACATTATGATTACTGATCAAGAGCAATGTATAATTTTATGACAATAATTTTTAATCTAAGCAAGAAATTATAACTTGATCAAGGGCAGACTGGAAGAATAGACTGCTAAATGTAATAGAATTTCTTTTATTCAGGAGAATAGGTTTGATCATCTTTGTAAAAAATGTCAGACTATACATGAGTTTAGAGTTAATGACAAGAACCAAAAAGAATCACAGATGAACCTGAAAAGTGAAACCCAAACACAAGAGCCTGCCAGTAGGTTACCCTTAAACTCCCAAGATCTGATTGTTAATTCTCCCCTCTAGCTACTGCACATTTCCTTGTAAATCAGTCACAAGAATTTGGGGTACAATCAAGGTAACAACTTAAACTTAATAAGTTTGAGTTTTCTCACAACCTGTTTGCAAGATGATGTTAATTCTCCCCTCTAGCTATTGCACATTTCCTTGTAAATTGGTCACAAGAATTTGGGGTACAATCAAGGTAACAACTTAAACCTAATAAGTTTGAGTTTTCTCACAACCTGTTTGCAAGATGATGTATGGATATCATAGGGAAAAGTTACAAGTGAATCACTTCTGGGAGATAAAGGGCTAAACAGACATCCTAATAGGTTTTATAGGCAGCTGTAGACCACAGGTTTCAATTAAAGCTGTTATTGAAACCTCTGCTTACCAAGTGTAACCCTAATGGCTATCATGTATCTTTTACCATTCTATAGTTGACAAAATGTAACATGTAGAGTTAATTGAAGAATGACAAATTTTCCAACCTCTTAACAAGTAGTTACTTAAAAGTTTTATTTTCATTGCAAGATTTCTATTCTATTGCAATATTCCTTTTTTTTCTAATTGTACACCTTGCTTGTTCCCAGAAATTACCACTGTTTTTAGTTTCTTGACTTGTAATTTGCGACATTCCTGAGAAAAACTGCAAACAGGGTTCACAGGTAAGTAAAATGTTTGGGTAAAAAATTTATTCAAAGATAATTGAAATGGAGAATGGAAAATTCCAGAGAACAGAAACACCTTAAATTTGATAATTACTAAAATAAATAGTTTAAATATTATCAAAATCAGTCAGGTAAAGCCAAGGAAATGCAGGATCCCCATAAAATATGACACTGACTGAGAAATTCAAAAAAAATATAATCATCTCTTGCACTTTTCAGCACAATTTTTGAAAATAACTTTCTTCATATTCTGTAGGAAATAATGATTCTCACTACACAACTGGGAAAACAAACCCCACATTGAATTCTAGCCTTCTGAGGCACCTAGCTCTGTGCAAATTACACTTCAAACTTCTCTATCCTCATTAACCTGAGGTGGTGTACACCAGGATAAACCTATGACACGAAGTTGGTCGTCACAACTTTGAACTTTACTCCTCAGAATGACTAACCAAAGTAATGGGCCTACTGTTAGTAGCACTTAGCCTTTGAGCTGGTCCTTTTTATTAATGCTCCAGGATGTGCATTTCCCTGCTCATGGGAGGATTTGAGACAAGTTGGGAGTAGGGAGAGAGGTTAGTCTGGGGTCTGGCAATCATTATCAGTGCTACCCCCTGCAGATCTCTATCAGGGGTTGCCTTACACTATCTTGCAGTCAAGGAATTGCTCAAGCTGAAGCACTTACGATGAGGGTTTAACTCATGTTTGACTATTATGTAAGAGTGGATGTGCTGGAACTGAATACAGAATTATGCGATGAATCATTCAAAGATTCAGTAGCAAAAGTGAAACGTCTGTTTGGTCCTGATTGCAGAGAGGTCTCATGAAGTCTGTCAGCTGAGTACTTGGACTGAAGTTCCAAAGATCCCACACTAAATGGACGTGGTTTCTTCTCCGAATGTGATGTAGTCTCTGACTTATTATTCAGTTCTTCACTTTCACTTTTTTTGGAGTCCAAAGATGGTTTCACAGGTTTGGTTCTCAAGCCTGTAGAACTTAAGTAAGGTGACACAACAAACGAAATGAGATGTTCAAGTTTTCTGTAGTTTCTGCTAGTTTGGTCATCATGAACACCCTAGTAGACAAATAGACTTATCGTTATGGAATGAAAAATATATCCAAAAAATGTTACATTTATAAGCTACAACCTTTTTCAAAATTCTTGAAAAAATTCCCCCTTGTCAATGTTGGTAGAAAATTGGGCATCATTGAAATAGAGGCAGGGTGATTGAAAGAAACATGATGAAAGTTAAATGAAATATATGATATTTTGACCTGCAGATGCAATACAAGTCAAGAGCTTATCTTCACAAAAGAGGTTAAAAAAAAGAATTGAAAAAAGAAAAGCTTTGATGGGATTTGAACCCATGTTTCCCAGATACAAGAGTAGTAGATTTTATAAAATTGATTTTGAGTTGAATGTCACTTTGCATAACTTAAAAACCTTTATACCTTAGCTGCAACAGCATATTGTCACAAGTCATGTTACTTATTGCCCTGTGACATTCTGTTTGATCATCATATCAGATATATCTGTCATGAAGGAAATCAGGACACTTGGCAAAACTATCATCAGCACAGAAGCATGTGCTAGTTATACTCATTGTCAGTTAATTTCATATTGCTAAAGAAATAACACTTTGAAATTGGAAATATTTCCAGAAATTTGTGGGTAAAAGACCCTCCCCCTTACCACATAAAATGTCTGTAACTTTTCAAAAGTAAGATTTCTTATTCTAAACTGAAACAAAAGCTGACAAATTATCAGGTGCTCCACCTGTTAACCCTTAAACTCCCAAGTTCTGACTGTTAACTCTCCCCACTACTTTCTGCAAGTTTCCCTGTAAATAGGTTACCAGCATTTGGTGTTAGATCAAGATAACAACTCTTACCCAAGAAGTTTGAGTACTGTCATTACATTCTTGCTGAATAATGTTTGGATTTCATAAGGAGAGGTTATATCAGAAGTTAATCACTTCTGGGAGTTAAGGGATTAACCCTCCAACATTGGAGAGACTGGCAGAAACCTCACAAAAAGACTGACTGCGACAAGAAATGGTGATGTCAACAAAAACATTGCTGAACATTATGAACTTAAGAACCACACTATTGACTGGGACTATGCCCAATGCCTAACCTACATTAGTATACAATATTAATACTAGCATTAATATTTTAATAATATTATATTTCAACTAATGAATCACATCACAGCTAACCTGATCAATCAGTTTACAATACATGACTGACGACAACTACTGTACCCATTTGACTCTGATGAAGGTCGTTGGAACATCAGTCACCACTACCAACAACATTCCTTCTCAAAATCAAATGTAACCCCCTGGTTCAAACAATTTATAACACAATCATTGTTTGCTTGAGAAAATTTGGCTATAGTAGCCATAATAATAAAGTTAAAAAGGATCTGACAGTAATTACTAATGATATGACAGTAATTGATAATGATATGGCTGCCTTCTGTTGTTGTAATGTTCATGAATGTACCCTTGGGCATCATTGTGATTTTGATCAATGGCTATTGGTCTTCAAATAATTATGGAAAAGCAGCATACGGCAAATTATAATTTTATACAAACCGGGTATTTCTACTTTCCCTTCTATTTGCCCAAATATAGGTCTCTCACCTGCAAAATCAACAGCATCTGTGCGACTTTTGGCGGAACAGTCAAGTCCATAACAAACGCTTCTTCCAATTTAGTTTTCAACACTACAACGTCGCGAAAGTTTAATAGAGCAATAGACCTAGTAGACTGAGCTTCACGGGACTGTATGTCTAAGAAAATTGCTTGAAGTAACGGCAATATCGTACAGA